GCCAGCACTGTGGATGGTGCCACTTTTTTTCCAGAGTGTACACGTTAACATGTTTGATACTTCCACAATCCTATATTTTTTATTTATTTGACACAGAGAGAGAGGAGGCATGCATAAACAGGAAGCAGCAGGCAGAGGGAAAGGGGGAAGCAGGCTCTCTGCTGAGCAGGGAGCCCGATGCGGGGCTCAATCCCAGGACCCTGGGGTCATGACCTGAGGTGCCCCAGATAATGCTATAATTAACATAAAACCCTATCATCCCTTTTTCACGGAAGACAAAACACGAATAGGAGAGTTGTAAGTCAGTTCAGCACTGATGCTATATAGAAGGAGATATTTGAGAAGCAGGAGCCAGATCATGGGGGACCTTTAATATCATGCTGAAAATCTTAGCTTTCATCCTACATGCATGGAGAGCCATTGAGGGATATGTACGTTCATATAAGCAATTTAGAAAATAAGCCAAAAACACTTTTAATCACCAGAAAGTCTACCTGTGAGGATAAAATTTCATGTTAATGAGCTTAGGGTTTTTTGTCCACCCTCCCAGGCTCACCCCTATGTGCAAGGCCTTCTCTGACCCCGGACTTGACTGGTTCTCAGGAAGCTAAATAAACTGTTACAGGCTAAACCCTTGTCAGTACATTTTTATAAATTAGGGCTCTATTTTGGGAAATTCATTTTATTTCATAAAGATGCCAAAGCTGTTAGAAGATAAATGAAAATATAAATGTTACAAAACATTAAGAATATTTATGAAAGAAGTATGTGAGAACTACATTGTAAATGTTCCTTTGGGGGTGTTCAACATGATTTTTACATCTGAGGCATCATGGTGGTTTCTATTCATTCAAAAAACATCTATTTTGTTCGGTCCTCTGCCAACAAAGGACCTGTGCCTCCCTCAATAAACTGCCCCGTGGATCCGCAAACTGACCGGCTGCCTGATGTGTATGGCCTGCAAGCTAAGGATGGTTTTCACAGTTTTGTTTGTTTTTAAAGATTTTTTATTCATTTAATGAGAAGGAGAGTGTGCAAGCTGGGGGAAGGGCAGAGGGAGAGGGAGAGAGATAATCCCAAGCAGACTGCACAGAGCGTGAAGCCTGACTTTGGGTTTGATCCCACGACCTTGAGATCCTGACCTGAGCAAAACCAAGAGTCGAATGCCTAACTGACTGAGCCACCCAGGTGCCCTAGGTTTTAGTTTTAAATGATTTTTAAAAACCAAAAGAAAAATGCTTCATAACATATCAAAGTTATATGAAATTCAAATTCCAGTGTCCATAAATAGAGTTTTATTGTGTTAGGGTCCATGATCAAAGGAACGAGACTGATATAAAGTGAAAATCAAACAAAGCTTTATTTTATGCCAAGCATCAAAAATCAAACTGACCGGTCAGGGCTGTCTCTTACAAAAAGGTGACGACGATAACCCCAGCAAGTCCGCTCCCAACGTGGCTGCTCTGGACAAGGCCTTTCTGCAGATAAGGCCACTCCCAGGACAAGGCCATTACTGATGAGGTCGCTCCTCAGACAGGGCTGCTCCCCGGACAAGGCTGCTCCCCGGACAGGGGCTGCTCCGGCGAGGCTGCTCCTCGGACAAGGCTGCTCACAAAAAGAGGCCACTCTGGAGGAAGCCTCTTCCCTGATGATGCTGCCTCCCACGGGGCTGCTCACCGAGGAAGTCTCTTTCCAGACGAAGCTGCTCCCTGGTTTGGCGCAGCTCCGGCGAGGCTGCGGCTCAGGGTATCAAGGCCGCTCCTGGTGGCGAGGCCGTTCGCGGTGAGGTTGCTGGAGTCTAGGCTGTTCCCTGTATCCACTGCCGAGGACCTCGGTGTGTGGGCGGGGCCGCTGGTGTCGGGGCCGCTGGTGTCGGGGCCGCTGGCGTCTCTGGGCTGCTGGCGTGCTGGGACCACTGGCGTCGGGGCTGCTGGCGTGCTGGGACCGCTGGCGTCGGGGCCGCCGGCGGCTCTTCTAGCTCTGACAAGAGCTGTTACAACTCTCACAGCTCTTACAAGAGCTGTTAACTCCTACAGCTCTTTCTTCTGCTCCCACCGACTCTCCTTCTTCTGCTCCTTCCTCTGACAGCTCTCCTTCTTCTCCTCCCTCGCCAGCCTCACAGACCAACCTTTATGGGGGGTGGTTGAGCCCCGCCCCTACACAGGTGGCCAATTGAATCCCAATTTACCCAGTGGATGTACCCACGCCCCACCGATTGGACGTCTCCACCCGGCCTGCCCTGTCCGCCCCTATTTCCGGGGTCCACAAGCTAGTTTCTCTGGGAGGAGCAGGCCCTTACCATTGGAACACAGTCACACTCATTGGTGAACAGTTGCAACAGATGGTATGGCCTGAAAGCTGGAGATACTTTCTGACCCTTGACAATTTGCTGACTGCAGAACTAGTGAAAACAATATTCACTCTTCCCTGCTCGGAGGACTTCTAAACTACAGTGAAATTTAGAGTTTAGAGTCTCAATTTAGAGTCTCAAAAAGTTCCATTGCCATTAGATGGCAATTAAATGAATGCCTTGAAAATGATTAGGCATGGATAATTTCCATGGTGAGTTCTTCATTGTTTCCCTGCCTTTCCATTTTAATAATAACACCATTAACTGTGTTGGTGATAGTGGAATTCTAACAATTCTACTACAGCTGCAGGAAACAATTCTGGCTACTATCCCATTGTTGATTGCAGTGATTAGTGCCACAGAAATCAAAGTTTGGAAGGGCAGTCTTTAGGAAGGGTGTATAAAAAGGAGGCACGTGTTCAAGTTGAGCTTCTCATATGTGTACATGTGTCTATGAGGCATTTTTTTATTGCAATAAAAAATGGGCTCATAGTGGTCATACTGTTTTTTGACCAACTTACTTTTAAAAATTTTACAACAGAATATTTTCCTACATCCTTAAGTATTCATTACACACATCTACATGTATTCTTTTTAACCATATAGAATTTTATAATGTGAATATACTATAAATCTATCATTGGACATCTTTCTATATTCTTTGCTATTATAAACATATTTATTACGATTTTTTTCAGCTAAATTCTAAAAGTGAATTGCTAGGTTTAAAGAGCATATACAAGGGGCGCCTGGGTGGCTCAGTCAATAAATGACTGCTTTTGGCTCAGGTCATGATCTCAGGGTCCTGGGATCCAGCCCGGAATTGGGCTCCCTGCTTGGTGGGAAGTCTGCTTCTTCCTCTCCCACTCCCCTTGCTTGTGTTTCCTCTCTCGCTGTCTCTCTGTTAAATACATAAATAAAAAAAAATTTTTTTAAAAAGATAGCATATAAAAGTTATAAGGCTTTTTGATAGATTATCCTCTTAAAAGACCATACTAATTTATAAATATCTCACCAAAAAATACACCAAAAGTGTATACATCAGCGCCTATTACCCCACAGCCTTTCAGCATGAACGATTTTCATTTTATAAAACCTTCCGGCTAATTCAACAGGCAAACAATACTGATTGGTGGTTTCATTTGCATTTCTTTAATTATTAGTCATGTTGAAGATCTTTTCATGTGTTTTTGGTCGTTTCTAGTCTTTGACTTAATGCTAGCTCATGCCCTTCATACATTTCCATTTTTTCTATTGGGGTAGCTTGCTTTCTCTAACTGATTTTCTTTAAAGAGTACTATTTTATTGGAAATACTGTTTCTCTTCGCTTGTTTGCCTTCATTTCTATGTTATTGTTTTTTGACATCCACAAACACAGTCACATCTGTATTATCTAATTCTCAAGTGAGTACTATTAGTAATTTAATAGAGGCTTAATACGGAGACAGTAAATAGCAGAGCGGAGATCTGAAGCGAGTCCCATTTAATTCCAGAGTCTATACATTCAATTACTACGCCAGTGGTTATCTCAGGGTCCCCGGATGGCCGCATCATCCGACACCTAGAAACTCGTTAGAGATGCAAAGACACTGTGATTGAGCAGCAATGCAGTTTAACAAGCCCTCCTGGTGATGATACCGCTTGAGTGTGAGAACTCTAGATTTCCTGTCTAAGGGACTATCCTATTCAAAAAGAGGTCGAAGTATAAACAAGGAAATGATTTATTGTTTTGTTGTTGTTGTTGTTGTTTGCTTTGTTTTTTAAGGAAATGGCAGCTACTAGGAAAAGGCAGAACCCTGGGTAGTGATAAAGAAGCACTTGTTCTGCCCCCAAGGCACAGATCCTGATACTGTTCCACTCGCCGCGGTCACCACTGTCCACTGCAGGAGGCTGACGTGAATGGACCGCGTTCAGGGGCTACAGTGTACCAGAAGTCGCAGTGGCGGTTAAGTGTGAAGAATGACTCCTGGACAGAGCTCTTCTTTTTGACTTGGGTAACCGGCCAGTTTTGCCAAGTGGGGCAGAGGTGTTAGGACAGGGGCCCTAAAGGAAAACAAGAATTCGGCTTTTAACAGGTGGCTCGTCAGGAGTCCTGCAGGACATGCAGGTCAAAATGTCCACTAGGGAGCTGATTGGAGCCTGCAGTTTTTGAGCAAGATCTCGGAGAAAGATGTGGACTTGTGGCGTCACTAGCGTGGAGACAGCAGGGAGTGGGGAATGATACATGTAGAGAAGAACAAATATAACAGAGTGTGAAACCGCTGGCAACTTTTCCTATTTCCCCTCCTCAGCGTGGACCAGTGAACCGACACTTTCTAGTTCCCAAGAGGCTCAGGAAAGACCAGAACGCAGAGAGGCTTTGCGTTCAAGCTGCTAAAGGGCCAGACAGTCGAGAAGAGCACCTGGCGCTCCAGTTTCACTTCCCTGAGACTCCGGACACCCGCCAGCCCCCTAAACCCTCCACCGGTTACCTACAGGACCAAGTCCCACGGCCCCAGGCAGCCTCTGACGTCATTACCACGCGCCCTCCCCGGCCCGCTTCCTACCCGCGCCGACCACACCCCGCGGCTCGGCGCCGCGCTTTTACGTCTCACCGCGCTCCCACCCGGGCCTCCCCCGCCTCCCAGACAAAGCCCGGAGCTCGGCGCTGTGCTTTTGCGTCATCACCGCGTGCCCTCCCGCCTTTGGGCTTTCAAGCTCCCCGGCGCGCGAGCAGAGCTGCATCCCCACAGAAGGGATCTGCGTGCCCCGTGTCGCCTCTCCGTTCCGTCATGTTCCCGGGCGTCTCCTCTCCGCGGACACCTGGGCCCGGGACCCGAAGGGGCCCGCTGGGCGGAGTCGGACCCGGCTCCACGCCCCGGGCGACTAGCAGAAAAGGTCTGTCACTAGGGTCGGCAGTCAGCTCCCCGGTGCTCTTTTCGCCGGTCGGCCGGCGTAGCTCGCTGAGCTCGCGGTAAGTGATTGTCCCGGGTTCGGTCTCTTGACCGATCGGCGGGCCTGATGGGGTAGTGTCTCCAGAAGCCTCCGGAACCGGGGGCGGCGGGGAGGAATGCCAAAGTTTTGGGGAAATAGATCTTCGCCATCTTTGCGGGTAGTTATTTCAGCCTCGCTTTAATTTATCAGGCATTCACTTTGCACCTTTCCTGGAATTAGCTTTGTGTAGAGGTGAACAAATTAGAATTCAGTCGGTGGTTAGCTGCCTCCTTACTACCCCTGTGTTGCGGTGTCAGTCAGTCATGGGACTTTTCGTTTGTGTAAAGGCGATAGCCTGCTTCACTTAAGGCCAAATGAATCAATATGAAATCCGTCGACGGTGGTGGGAAAGAGCATCTCCAACCCAGGAAAATGCCTAATAGAGTTATTGTCATTCATATCTCCTGATTGATAACTAAGGGAGTTTTGGCCATACACGTCAACTTTGTAGCGAAATTAATAGGCGAAAGTCTTTCCATAACAGTGAGTTAAGAATAGTAATTTTGTAAACATATAAAAAACGGGGCACATCAGTCCACATCACCTGTTAAGTCATGCTCCGCACCCATCCTTTCATAATTAATCTAGAACTTTAGGCGGTAACTTGTTTCTGAGTAGTTTCTTCCGACTTTGTCTACCCTAAAAGAACTTTGTTCTGCAAGGAAACAACATTTCGAAAGTGCTCTTTAAAGTGGTGATCTTGTCAGTGTTTTCTATTCCTTTTGAGAAAAGTCAGGGAATTAAAGCTGTACTTTACTTAATGTGTTTTTAAAATATTTTCTTACTTACTAGTGATTGTTTAAAGAAAAATCTTGGTTATAATGGTATGTCAAGAAACAAAGCTCACTTAATCCTCATGATAAGAGAGAATAAGTTTTATACTGGTAACTACATTATTTTTTGAATGTTAACAGGGTGAGGAGATAAAATTTCAACTGCTGTGTCTGCTGTTGAAGAACAGGTAACAGCAGATACTCATGATTCTAATTTCTTGTACAAATCTGGGGTCGCCTATGTGGCTAAGTCCGTTAAGCGTCTGCCTTTGGCTTAGGTCATGATCTAGGGGTCCTGGGATGGAATCCCGCACAAGGAGCCTGCTTCTTCCTCTGCCTCCCTCCGCGTCCTCTCTCATGAATAAATAAATAAAATCTTTTTTAAAAAATCTGGTAGATTTCATAAAATTCTATAGCTGATGAGGGAAAAATGGGTGAAAGGGAGTGGAAGGTACAGACTTTCAGTTACAGAATGTGTAATTCATGGGATGAAAAGCACAGCATAGGGAATATAATCAGTGATGATATAATAGGGTTGCATAGTGACAGAGTAGCTATACTTGTGAGCATAGCACAGAATTTCTAATCACTGTTTTGTACACCTGAAACTAATATAACATTGTGTGTCAACTATACTTCAATAAAAAAAGTTCCAAGGCTGATGTGAGCTTAAAGATAATCTAATTCAATGTTTGTAACGCTTATTTGACTACAGTGTAGAATAAACTCTAGATTATATTCTGTTTTTCAAAAATGTTGATTGAGACCCTCAAAATGATCCGCAATTTGGAAAACGCTGATCTAGTCCAACCTTCGTATATCACAGCTAAGGAAGCAGTTATAAGGAGTTTAAGTGAATAGAGCATACATCTGATTACTAGAGCATAAGAGTCAGAAGCCGTTTTCTAGATCCTGTCAGTCTTTTTTTCTTTTTAACAAAAAATGTATTATGCAGTACATATGAGCCAGAGTTGTGTGTGTGGTTTTGTTTTTTGTTTGGTTTGGTTTTGGTTTTGGTTTTCGTTTTTTTTGTTTTGTTTTGTTTTTGTTTTTTACTGTTACACCTCATCTTTCTTCTTGTTTATCAAAGATCTTCTCTTTATGTGAAAATATGTACCTAAAAATTAGGATAGTGGAAAAAAAGTTTTTCAAGGATTTTGTTTATTTGACAGAAAGCAGGGGGAGTAGCAGGCAGAGGGTGAGGGAGAAGCAGGCTCCCTGCTGAGCGGAGAACCCAATTTGTGTTAGATCCTGAGACCCTGGAATCATGAGCTGAGCCCAAGGCAGATGCTTAACTGACTGAGCCACCCAGATGCCCCAAGACAACAGAAAATTTTAAGATACGGTTCAAGGAATGTTGTCTTTTTTCTTTAGAGGAACACCTACACGAATATTGCCACACCACTGTGTAACTGAGTCTATGAACTATGATGTGAAAACATTTGGATCTTCTCTTCCTGTTAAAGTAATGGAAGCCTTGACATTGGCTGAAGGTAGGTGTCATTTTCCGTTTGCCTCTATTAGCAGTTCAAAATGCAGCCTGGCTCTGGCTCAGATTGGTATTTGTGCTTTGTCTGATATCCCTTCACTTAAATGGGGTAGAGACAGGTAACATTTGGTTTTCACTGTAATTGAGAAATGTAATAAATTTGAAAAGCAGAGTGAGTTTATTTTTAGCACACATTTCTTTTTTTTTTTTTTTTTTTTGACAGGGATCACAAGTAGGCAGAGGGGCAGACAGAGAGAGAGAGGGGAAAGCAGGCTTCCTGCCGAGCAGAGAGCCCAATATGGGGCTCGATCCCAGGACCCTGAGATCTTGACCTGAGCTGAAGGCAGAGGCTTAACCCACTGAGCCACCCAGGCGCCCCTTTAGCACACATTTCACTGCATATGCAAAACTCAGTCTCATTTCAGAAGTTGATCATGTGTATGAAGTTTAGCTTAAAAAAAGCCAAAACACTGCCTCACATTATTGGGTGTGATAATGCAGTAAGGTGAAGGCTTACTACCTCTATTTCTGGATCCTAGAGGTTAGTATCCTAGAGGTTATATGTACACGTTTGTGTTATCAGTGTGGTGTACCTTTAGAATATTCTCTTGGCAGAGAATCAGAGTGGCAGTTCGGAAGAAGGGCAGTCATAGAAGGGTCAGAAAGGCAACAGTAAGGATGAGGGATTGGGCGACTGGGAGAGCAAAGTTCAGAGTATCCTCATGGATGTTCCCAAATCGTCTTTATTTGTGATTCAATTCTAGATTTTTGTGATTTTCTGGAACAGTGTTTTTCAGATTGCAGGTAGTAATGGAAATCAGTTTAGTGGCTCATGGCCAACATTTAAAAAAAATAGAATGCAGAATATCAGAGTGCATTTCATATAATAATGTTAGATGCCTGTTTGTTTTATTTAAATTATACGTGAATGCGTCATGATATAAAATGTATTTCATACTGTGAATGACAGTCAAAAAAGGTTAAAGTGTACTCCGTTCTAGCAAGGAATATTTCTCATCAACCTGAACTTGCATATCTTGCCTGTGAGTCCTTGAAAACTCAGGTATAGTGGTTTTCAGACAACTAAACTTCTACTAACCTCTGTCATGCACTGTTTTTATTATTTTTTAAAAGTTTTTTAAATTTATTTTTGCAAGAGAGTGAGCATGCACCAGAGAGAGCACACACATGAGCAGGGGGAGGGGCGGGGGTAATTGCACCTTTCCTGCTGAGCAGGTTAGGACCCTGGGATCATGACCTGAGCTGAAGACAGATGCTGAAGGTGACTGAGCCGCCCAGGTGCCCTGCACTATTTTTGTCTTAAATATATATAATATATTTTCCATTTTTCTTTACTCTTAAAAATTTGAGCTTAAATTATATTTAAACCTTTTAACATACTCCAGGTTCATGCCACCAGACTTTTAGTAACAAATAATACTCAGCCTCAGAGGAGAGAGTCCCTAGAAATTAGGATGTTTAAACTGAGGGGTGTGTAAACTGGAAGAACTTTTCCCTGTATGGAAACCTACCAAGGGCTGTGTGTGAAGTCAGAGACCTCAAGGACTTACCAGTAGAGTATTTGGAGCTGCTTTGTTGCTCTCAGGAAAAGAAAATATTGAGCCGATATGCTAATTCAGCAGAAACCACACAGCCTGTGTGAGTTAGTATTTTAGCTTGTATGTTATTGATGCCTTTTATCTCGCCCCTCTACCCGGCTTTAGGCAAAGAGCAAAGCTCAAATTAATTAAATTTCTAGGACTAACACACTTACTGAGGTTTACCACCAGTGCTTATGACAGCAATATAATAATTCAGTTTTGTCATTTAATATGGAATGTAACCCATCGAGTGTCTGGGTGACTGGCTCAGTTGGTTAAGCGGCCGACTCTTGGTTTTAGCTCAGGTCGTGGGCTCAAGCCCTGTGTCATGCTCTGCACTTAGTGAGGAGTCTGCTTGAGATTCTCTTCCTCCCCTCCCTCTGCCCCTTCCTTGTGCATGCTCTCTCTCTTTCTAAAATAAATAACTTTTAAGAAAATACGGAATGTAACCCTTGATGTCTGCATATAATGAAGTGCTTTATCATACTTTTAAAGAAAGTATTTGAAAAGTACTTATCATACTTTAAGGAAAGTATTTGAAAATCACATTCTTTTGAAGGAACAATTTTTCCTTGAAATTTTTTAATATATTTAATGGGAAAGATTATTATTTATGTTGCCGTATCAAAATAAAATTACAAATGTTACTAAATATTATAGAAAGTAAGATGCTGGTTTATAACCAATACTAAAAGATATTAAGCCTTAGTCCAAAATATACTTTTTGCCTTCAGATACATTTCTGAAAGTGATTATCAAAGTTAAATGGATTTCTTATTTTAGGTATTAATAACTCTTGAATTACTCAAGAGCACTTTTTGATGTGAATGAATTTTTTTATGTGTGATCACTTTTTTACACACACACACATCTGTAAAGAATGTAACCATAAAGAAGATCTTGGTATAAGGAATTTTAAGGTTTTTTTTTCTTCTTTTTGTTTTTTTTTAAAGATTTTATTTATTTATTTGACAGACAGAGATCACAAGCAGGCAGAGAGGCAGGCAGAGAGAGAGAGGGGGAAGCAGGCTCCCCACTGAGCACAGAGCCTAATGTGCGACTCCATCCCAGGACCCTGAGATCACGACGCGAACTGAAGGCAGAGGCTTAACCCACTGAGCCACCCAAGGGCCCCTTCTTTTTTGTTTGTTTTTTTTTTTTAACAGTTTTTCTTATTCATGCTTTAAGTTTAATTACGTACTTTTTTTTCCTTTTTTTTAGTTGATGATCACTTGACTGTTCACATAGATGAAGGAGGATGGGCTTGTCTGGTCTGCAGAGAGAAACTCATTATTTGGAAGATTGCTCTGTCACCTATTACTAAGGTAATGGCTGTTTAGGGAGCTAAAAGGTGGTAGAGGAGAGGATTACCCATTGGCTCTTAATTTTTACCCTAAAGCTTTAGAGTTGTTAAAGTACAGTAATCTGAATCTACTCAGACCTGGCTCTGCATTTTTGTTACGATACGGAGTACTGAGCATGCAAATACATTTTCATGTTGGGAAGGTTTCTCCCATTTAATAATTTTAAACTAGATCCATGTTATTTACATTTAATAACATTAGACTTTGTAATTTTTAATTAACATTATACATGTCATTTCAGTCTACCTAATGAAGTTTAAGACTAAATGCTGTCCACCTAACCTAATGAACTGAGTTTATTTATTTCTAAGATAGAACTCTGTTTCACTAAATCCACCAAATGATGCTTAATAGGGAAAAACTGAGGGGTGGCTATGTGACTCAGTCAGTTAAGCAGCTAACTCTTGATTTTGGCTCAAGTCATGATTTCTGGGTCACATAGGATTATCATTTGTGTTTCTGAGATCTTATCCTCAGCAACTTATTTTCTTTTGTGTTCCAGATCAGGCATCCTGTCTTGTACCAGTCACTGGTTACTGTTGTCACTGGGCCATTGTTCTGTTGGAACTGGGGACTCATGCTTACCTAAACTCTTGACATCTGTGGTCTCCATACTGGTGCTGCCCCGAAAATAGAATTTGTAGTTGAGAGCATAGGTGAAGGAGACGTCCTGGGGGCCCTGATGAGTTACCAGAGGGAGCCTGATACCTGGCATAGGCCAAGAAGTATTTTCTGGACAGCTTGGTATAATTGGTTATTCTGTGGTCATGAAGATTTTAGATGTCAAATAAACAAATCAAGACTAGCCTGGGAAAATTCCGTACATACATCTCTTAAGCAGTACACATCTTTTTAGTCCAGAAAGATACTGGGCTTGTTGATATTCAGGGTCTGGTCTACCTCTTAAGTTTTCCTGATTCTGTATGTCTTAAGATACTTTGTTTTGAAATTACTGAAAGCCCTGATGAAACCCTAATGAAAAAGATAAGAGAAAAAAGAATATTTGTAGAATGGTATTTCCAGCAATGAATGAGAATATGAAATATGCAGGGAAAGAAAATAGTGAAGTCAGGTGCGTATTCAAAAAACTTGGATTTGATGTGAAAGATTTTTGGTTTGGGTTTCTTCTTTAGTTATCTGTTTGCAAAGAACTTCAGCTGCCGCCTAGTGACTTCCCTTGGAGTGCTGACTTGGTGGCTCTCTCTTATCCTGATACTGCAGGTGAAGCACATTCTACTCAGGTAGGTGACTTAAGTGCTTATTGAAATATAGATTTTTTTAAAATAAGGGAGTTCTAATATTAGAGGAATCATCCAACCTGATTCAGACACATAACCGTAAAGCCACAGGAGTCAAGACACTAGTATTGGCAGATAGACACATAGAGAATGCTGATACAGAGGTAGCCCTTTGATCTGTGACAGCTGCAACAGTAGTTCAGTGGAGTAAGGATAGTCTTTTCAGTAAATGGTGTTGGGACCATTAATCATCCTTATACCAAAAAAAAAAAAAAAAAAAAAAAAGACTTTTCCCCTAAAATTCCTATCTTATACAAAGATTAACTCAAAAGGGATCATAGATTTAGATCTAAAACATAAAACTATAAATTTTTGGAAGAAAGCAGGAGAAGATCATCATGACCTAGGATTAGACAAAGAGTTCTTGGAAATCAGCAAAAGCGTGATTCACAAAAGTAAAAAATAGGTAAATTGGACTTCATCAGAATTAAAAACTTGGCTCTGTCAAAGACAGTGACAAGAAAAGAGACAAGCTACAGACTGGGAGAGAATGTTCCTAAGTCCTATATCCAAGAAAGAACTTGTATCTAGAATGTAAAATGAACTCTCAAAGCTTAAAAGGAAAACAACCCAATTTAAAAACAGAGCACAAGATTTGAACAGATACTTTACCAAAGAAGATAAAAGGGTGTCAGAGGTGTTCACATCATTGGCCGTTAGGGAAATGCATACTGAAATGACAGTGAGCTATCACAGTACACCGATTAAAATGGTCAAAATACAAAATACCCTGCCAAGTGCCGGCAAGGATGTGGAGCAACTGGAACTCCCACATTCCTGATGGGGATGCAAAATGGCACAGCTACTTGATTTTTACTTTCCTAGCAATTCCATTCCTAGCTATTTACCTCATAGAAATTAAAACTTAAAAGTTTACACAAAAAACTATGATTGTCGTAACAGCTTTATTTGTGATAGCCAAAGGTGGAAACAACTCAAATGTCCTTTTAACAAGTGAATGAATAAAGAAATGGGTTTCATCCATAGAGTGGACTGCTATGCAACAGTAAAAAGGAATGAATTCTTCATACAGCAACAACCCAGATCAGAGACATGCTGAAATGAGATAAGCCAGTGCTTAAAGGTTACATTCTGTATGATTTCATTTACCTGGCATTCTCAGAAAGATGAAACTATAATGATGGAAACTGGTTGCCAGGGTTAAGATGGGAAAAAGCTGTGATTATAAAGTGATAGCACGAGGGAGTTTGGGATGTTTATGGGACTGTGCTGTCCCTATATGGGTAGTAGTTACCTAGGTCTATACAGGTGTTAAAATTACTAGAACTGCACAACAAAAGGAAAAGAAAGTAAATTTTATAGTCTGATGATGTTTAAAATATAAACAGGAAGGGATATGTCCCCCTAATTTCTGTAAATCAAATAATAAATTGCTCTAGTTTGTTTTTATCAGTGTCACTAGACACACCAGACACATCTTTTTACTGTAATTGCCGAGTATTATGATCTTGTTTGAAGGCTATTGCTGTCATGGTTGCCACCAGAGAAGGATCCGTCCGTTACTGGCCAAGCCTTGCTGGTGAAGATACCTACATGGAGACCTTTGTAGATTTGGGAGGTGATAAGACTTACAGTTTCCTAACAGCAGTGCAGGTATGTGATGGATTTTCTTTCATATTTATTGGAAAGCTGTGATTTGCTTTGGAGTGAGATGTGAATGAGTAAAAGTTGTTTTGGATAGACCATACAGCCAGAGAGGAATCAGAAAGAGGTAAGAGAAGAATGTAAGGGTCTAGGAGTTGAACGATTGGACAAAGGAAAGCCTTTTTCCTAGGACTCTGAAATACCAGTATTGAATCATAGCCCATGGTATTCATTTCTTTCAGAAATATTTCCTGATGGTGACTTAGAAACCCTTAGACATTAGGAAGAATGGCATGCATTATAATGTACACTCTGCAAGTTTACCAAAGAATAAAATGTGATACTTGATTTGTTGAACCTGTGGTGTGGTGAACCTGTATTTTAAAAATCAGAATTAAGGAAACACCCAATTAAAAAAACAACTAAAATTTATGTAAAATTAATAGTATCATATCTTAGTAACATGTTATAGTATTTGTAAGTAAATCATTTTAGTAAAATGATACTTTTTTAAAAAATTCTTTTAGATTTGTTTTAAGGTACAGATGATAGATGACTTGTTTCTATATCAAAGCATTTTGTGTTAATGCTCTTTATCTTAGTTATAGATGCGTAACTAATTTCACAATATTTGTTCATAGGGAGGAAGTTTTATTTTGTCCTCATCGGGAAGCCAGCTGGTTCGGCTGATACCTGATAGTTTAGGAAAGATTCATCAACACATTCTGCCTCAAGGACAAGGGATGCTTTCAGGAATTGGTCGGAAGGTTTCTTCTCTTTTGGGAATTTTATCTCCCAGTAGTGATCTCATCGTAAGTTGATAAAATGATTTTGTTTTACAAGCTTGTTTCTTCTTGAAATCAGTAAGTTGGAGGTTTCCTATGAAGTTGGTATTGTCTCCGTATGAATACTAGTATATAGGAAGTAAAACCTTTGATGTTTTCAGTGAAGCATTTTTATTGTGATCAAATGAGTTCATACGAACTCTCACAAACCCTGTAACTTTAATATTCTTAAATCATACAGATTCTCTTACATGTACATTCTTTGGATTAAAACTTATATAAAATTGTTATATAAAATTATATATAAAAATATATAAACTACTATTATATAAAATTGTGTTTAAGGACGAGTTTTGCTTTTTGACTTAACCGAAAGTGTTCTCGACTCCCATGACTCCAGCTGTTTGTGTGGATGACTCGAATCTGAATCTGTCAGCCGGGCTTCTGCCTCAGGCTCTGGCACAGCGAAGGGAGGCAGATGGCAGCAAACCTGGAGCGTGTCCTCTCTGCTAGAGGCTCTGTATTTGTTATTTTGAGCAATAACTGTGATAACCTGTAACGTAGAGTGCTTTCTCCCCAGTTTGCAGATGAGCAAACAGCCTCAGTGACATTTATGTAAACTGCCTGACGTTGCACGACTACTCTGTGGCAGATATGTGCCCAGGCCTCTTTGAATTGAAAGCACATTTTCTTCTCACTGTGCTGTTTCCTCTAACTGCAGGTTGCTCTCGCCATCTGCTTTCTTGATGGTCTAAAGACCTAAAACCTAATATGTCTGAAAACAAATTGCTCATATTCCCTCTTCCCTCACATTTTCTACACCAAAAGTGTATATAAAATTCGTTTCTCTTTTGGCCTGTTAATTTCTGTTCATGACCCTGTCACTGTTTTCAGTGACCTGAGTATAAACTCTCCAGTGTGTGTGTGTTTGTGGGTATGTGTATGCACACCTCCCTTCTATAGCAGATTCCGTACTTAACAGATACTATAGATTTGACTTCTAACATGTCTCATTTTCATCCCTACCTTTTGCTTCCATTGTTATGCCCTAATCTGCACTCTTGGTGAATTTCCCCTAAGCCCTGGGTGGCAGTTCAGTTTACTCTCTGATGGCTCTTTAACCCATTAGTGGCCAGAATCATGGTGCTAGGAGAAATGGAGAAAATCAGGGTTTTAACTCAAAACAATCGTGTGCCCACTAAAAACACAACTATACTTCATAACCAATATATACTTGAAAAGGCAGAATAATCTATCTACATATAACTTGCCACATTCCTTTTCCTACAACACACCTCTTGAGTTCAAAAGCCATTGATAATACCTTGTTTACTAGGTTTACAGATTCACATTCAGGACTCTGCTGTGTGTCCCTAACTTTTCATTTGAGCATTATTTTTCCTCCTTTTCTAGCTATAGTCTAGATTCCAGTGTAACAGAACTGCTTGTTCTCTGGAAGGCCTCATAACTTTCCCACAACTGTACTCTTTGTGGGCTGTCTGCTTTTATATTTCTAGAAATCTTACCTTGCTTTCAAGGTTCATTTTAGGATCACTCCTTTCTGGAATACTAAATGAAGAATTCCACCAGGATTACTAATGGAATACTTATAAAACATATAAATTTGAATTTCAGAAAAGTAGTTCCTTCACATTAGAACTTAAAAATCTGTAAATGTAACTTTTTTCTTCTCTCCTCTCCATACAGCTTTCAAGTGTCCTTTGGGATAGAGAGAGAGCAAGCTTTTATAGCCTGACAAGTTCAAACATCAGTAAATGGGAATTGGATGATTCTTCAGAAAAACAAGCACATAGTTGGGATCTAAATAGAGTCCTGAAGGAAAACATTACTGATGCTATTTGGGTAAGGAAAAATAATATTCATCTTTGCAATTCACGTTTTGATTAGATAAGAATGCTAGTTTCTTTAATTATTTTATTTATTAGAACACATTTCAATGCAGTGTAGCTTTTAGTCATCAGATAAGCAGAAATAGGGAGTTCAAGCCTTAGAAATACTGGAGTTCACTGATTTACTTAGTAGCTTTAAAAATGCATATATTATTTATTCAGCAACTTTGAACTGTTTAATAGGTGCTGGGAATACAAAGGTGAAAAGCAATGATCCTTATACTCATGGAGCTTATGTTATTGATGTTTTCATATAGGGATCTGAAAGTAACTATGAAGCTATTAAAGAAGGGGTCAACATTCGGTATTTGGATTTGAAGCAAAACTGGTAAGCAGTTAGCTTGTCCTCAAGAATACAGGTAGCTATTTGGGAAACTAATGTTTATTGTAAAATGATGATCAGTCTTGCCGTCTGTTCTTCTAATGCTGTTCGCATCATACTTTCATACCTTACTGAAAGGCTTTGTGTCCTTTTCTAGCGATGCTGGTTGATTTGAGAAATATAGGCAGTTCTCAGCCCTCACCTGCATATTCTTATGTTAGTTGTCTGCCCTAGTTCGAGACTCATCTTTCCTGCTCTTATGGCTGGAGCTTCTCTTCACACTAAGAGATGCCCTCCCTGCTGCTGCTGCGGGTGCCCCCTGCTGTCATCCTTCTCTTCTCAGTGGCGATACCAGCCATTCTTCTCCAGCCTTTTTGCTTTAGTAAGCTTATGTTTGTGGCGAAAGTGGGGTGAGGTTTTGTCTTGGCAGTACAAGTGAGAACTCACTCAGGGTTTAAATTCACAGTGAATTTCCTCTTAGAAATGGTGCTCTAAGTGGCACTTAATATCCTAGGTTAGTCTGATAAATCCTAGGTTAGTTATCCTGTGTTATTATTTAATTTTAATACCAAAGGTCATATGGAACTTAAAAACCATTTATAACATGGCTTCCATGTTATATATGACTTGTAATTCTTCAAAACACAACATACCAGAAGTTAAGAGCAATTTTTGTGTTTTAGAGTAATTTTTTTATTTTTTTAAAGATTTTATTTGTTTATTTGACAGAGAGAGGGAGATCACAAGTTACTCAGAGAGGTGGGGGGGGGGTGGAGGAGCAGGCACCCTGCTGAGCAGAGAGCCCGATGTGGAGCTCAATCCCAGGACCCTGAGATCATGACCTGAGCTGAAGGCAGAGGCTTAACCCACTGAGCCACCCAGGCGCCCCTAGAGTAATTTATTTAGTAGAACAAATTCTACTTGTTTTTTTGGAAGGATATTGCAGTTCTGCTGTATAATTTTTCTTAGGCTCTTGAGAATGTCAGTAAGATCCTTCTTTATAGTTTCTGAAAACCTTACATAAACTATCAAAGAGGTAGAAGTAGCATGTGTTTAATTTCCACAAGTGGTTTAATTAAATATAGTTCATGTGTTTTCATGTATCTTTACCAGACTTTCAGGAATTTAGGACTACTGCTAGGGTGCACCTGGGTGACTCAGTCGCTAAACATCTGCCTTTGGCTCAGGTCATGATTCCAGGGTCGTAGTAGTAGGATCAAGTCCCGCTTCAGGCTCCCTGCTCTGTGGAAAGCCTGCTTCTCCCTTTCCCACTCCTTCTGCTTGTATTCCCTCTCCCACTGTCTCTCTCTGTCAAATAAATAAAATCTTAAAAAAAAAAAATTACTGCTGCTGGGACACAGACCACGTGGTCATATGATGCAGACATTTTTTCACATAGTTTTCAGAACAGAGATGTGGACTGAAAACAGAAGAGAAACATGCTTAAGAATTTCTGGACTGGGTCAGAGCCCCGGCTCGTCTCCTCCATTGTTGTCATGCTAGCAAGGTGCTTGTGGGACTTCTAAGACGTAGCTCTTGTTCTCCTTCTGGACCGTCTAGTGATCATACGGTGTCTGTATCTGCATACGTTTCTTCTATTTAAGAATACTGTCCGTCTTCTTGATGCTCACTGATGCTCTTGATCTTTTGCTTGTGTTGGCCAGGTTTGTAACCTGGCATATATTTTCATGGAACAGGCTTACAAGTTCTTTTACTAGATTATTACACAGAGCTCAGAGAGCCTCATTTTAGATGTGAAATTGGATTTTTTTAAGTCTTAAGTGTATTGTTTTGTATATACTCGTAAAAATTTAACAATAAATTTTTCTTTTTTAAATTTTTTAAATTTATTTATTTGACAGACAAAGATCACAAGTAGGCAGAGAGGCAGGCAGAGGGAGAGAGAGAGAGGAGGAAGCAGGCTCCCCGCTGAGCAGAGTGCCTGATGCGGGGCTTGATCCCAGGATTCTGGGATCATGACCTGAGTCGAAAGCAGAGGCTTTAACCCACTGAGCCGCCCAGGCGCCCCTGTTTTTAAATTTTTTTTTTAAAGATTTTATTTATTTATTTGAGAGAGAGTGAGGGAGAGCATGAGAGGGCAAAAAGTCAGGGAGAAGCAGACTCCCTTCAGAGCTGGGAGCCCGATGTGGAACTTGATCCGGGGACTCCGGGATCATGACCTGAGCTGAAAGGCAGTGGCCTATCCAGCCGAGCCACCCAGGCACCCTGTTTTTAAATTTTTAACAATAAATAAAAAATTTATTGTTAAATTTTTATTAGTTTGCAAAATTTAGAGTATCTACCTATCATCTCTACTACCTAAAACAGCTTCATGTTTTTTCCAAATGTGAAGATGTTTTTATATAGATGTCAAATAAAACTGTTCTAGCACTACTCTAAGAAATTCTGTTAGCATGTCTCCATGACTTCGTGGCACCCTTTATCACCCAATATACAGTCTTTAGAGTAACTTCAATATAGAGCCTTATCATAGGTACGACCAACTCTGCTTCCCTCCTTGGTACATTCAAGACCACATTCTCTGTGATCTCACTTGGTTTCTTTTTTTTTTCTGTCTTTTTGGCTGTACTTTTCATCTCTGTGACCTGTTTATTTTATAACTGGAAGTTTACACCTGTTAATCCACTTTGTTTTGCCCATCCCCTCAGCCATCTCCCTTCTGGCAACTAAGAGTCTTCTTTTGTTTTTCTGATTGTTTGTTTTGTTTTTAAGATTCCATGTAAAAGGGAAGTCGTATGGTATTTGTCTTTTTGTGTCTGACTTACTTCACTTAGCATAATACTCTAGTTCCATCCATTTTGTCACAGATGGCAAGATCTTAACTCTTTTTTGCTGAGTAGTATTCCTGTGTGTGTGTGTGTGCGCGTGCGCACACTATGTCTTTATCCATTCATTTGTTGATGAGTACTCGGGTTGCTTACATGTCTCAGCTGTTGCTGCAACAAACATAGGGGTACATATATATTTTCAAATTAGTGTTTTTGTTTTCTTTGGATAAATACCCAGTTAGTGGAGTTATTGGATCATACGGTATTTCAATTTTTAATTTTTTGAGAAACCTCCATACTGTTTTCCATAGCAGCTTCACCAGTTTGCATTCCCACCAACAGAATGTGAGGGCTCCTTTTTCCTCTACATCCTCACCAGCACTTGTTAATTCTTGTCCTTTTTATTTTAGCCATTCTGACAGGTGTGAGGTGATATTTCATTGTGATTTTGTGCATTTCCCTGACGATTACTGATGTTGAGCATCTTTTCTTTTGTCTCCTAGCCACCTGTATGTCTTCTTTAGAAAAACATCTCTTCAGGGCCTCTGCCCATTTTTAAATTGGGTTATTTGGGGGTAGTGGTGGTGTTGTGTAAGTTCTTTACGTTATTTTAGATATTAACTGCTTATCAGATATATCATTTTTGGAATTCCATTCATTAGGTTGCCTTTTTGTTTTGTTGATCATTTCCTTTGCTGTGCAAAAGCTTTTTATTTTGGTGTAACCCCAGGAGTTTGATTTTGCTTTGGTTTCTCTTGCCTGAGGAGACATATCCATAAATATGTTGTTAAGGCTGATGTCCTAGAGATCACTGCCTGTTTTCTTTTAGGAGTTTTATGGTTTCAGATCTCACATTTAGGTCTTTAGTCCATTAGTTATTTTTTATGCATAACGTTCTTCTATATCCGGTATTAGCTCTTTAGGTCACTGCCAGTATATTATAAGTTTGGGCTAGTATTGTTGGATTCCTTTCAGGAGTCTGAGTAGGAGTGATAAGGGTTCAGGACCTGGTGAAGATCACAGTGGAAAGAGAAACGAGAGCCATGTTCAGATTGCTCGATTTGAAGTGATGTCGTTTAGTCATTCGCTGGGTTTCATTTTTTTTTCCGGTTTCTTGTTTTTAGTTGTCAGTAGAGGGCGCTTGCTCCCTGCCCGTCCCAACCCCCCATTAATATTTCTGAGACTTGAATGAAAGTTGCTAATAATAAATACTACTGAATATTTTGGAGGGCTTGAGATTAGAGACCATGTAATTCTTTGTTGAGGGCAACAACTTTGATAGACTTACGAGAAACGTAAGCTTTAAGATAGAAAAAGGTTTGTTTTCACATTGAAATTTCTGCAACTGATTGTTAAAAACAAAATGTTCCTCTGGACCAAAGTAAGCTTTAAAGAACAAATTAGGTCAGGGTTTGGCAGCCTTTCTCTGAAGGGCCCACAATGTGGTCTTCACTGCAGCTCTTCTACTCTGTAGTGATAGCATGAAGGCATCCACAGACAGTACGGAAATGAGTGGGCCTGGCTGCATTCCAGTAAAGCTTCATTTATAAAAACTCGGTTGGGCACAGTTTGGCCTGAGGGCTGTGCTTTGTTGGTCCTGCGTTTGATGATTTGTTGATTTTTTTTTAAGTCAGATTTATTGAGCTATATTTTATATACGGTAAAATTCACCTTAGTGTGTAATGAGTTGACAGACGCAGACTCATTTGACCGTGAGACGCAGTCGCGATATGAAATCGTTCCATCAGCCCCAAACTCCCTTGCATCCCTTTGTAATCAAAGCCTCCTTCAGTCTCAACCGTGGCGACTGTTGATGTGTTTTCAGTCCCTGTTGTTTTGTCTTTTTCTGAATGCCCTGCAAATGGGATCATATAATATAAAGCCTGTTGAGACTGCCTTCTTTCACTTAGCACAATGCATTTGATGTTCATTCAGCAGTTTCTTCCTTTTTACTGAGTAGTGCACACTGTGTAGAATTACCAGGGCTTGAGGTGCCTGGGTGGTTCAGTTGGTTAAATGTCCCAACTCTTCATTTCCGCTCAGGTCATGAACTCAGGGTCATGGCACTGAGCCCTGCATTGGGCTCCATGCTCAGCTCAGAGTCTGCTTGGGATTCTCTCTCCTCCTCTGCCCCTCTCCCCACTTGCACTCTCTTCTCTCAAAGTCTTGAAAAAAAAATTACCAGGGGTGCCTGGGTGGCTCAGTTGGGTAAGCATCTACCTTCGCCTCAGGTCATAATCCCAGGGTCCTGCATCAGGCTCCCTGCTCAGCGCAGAGCCGGATTCTCCCTCTCCCTCTGCTGCTCCCCCTGCTTGTGTTCTCTCTCTCTCTCTTTCTCTGCCAAATAAATAAATAAAATCTTAAAAAAAAAAAAAATTACCGGGATTTATCTATTCAGCAGTTGAAGGATATTGGGCTTCCAGTTTTAGGTAATTGTGAGTAAAGCCACTATAACTATTTGCACACAGGTTTTTGTGTGAACATAAGTTTTTGTTTTTCTTGGGTAAATATCTAGGAGTGGGATTGCTAGGGCATATGGTTAGTATGTATTTAACTATATAAGAAACTGACAAACTGACTTCCAAGAGGCTGTAGATCTTTCTTTTTCATTGATTAGTGATGGGCTCCTGATTTTGGCAGCCGCATGGCACCCAGCAGACAATCCATGTCTCATCTATTACTCTCTGATAACAGTAGAAGATAATGGCCACCAAATGTCTGATGCAGTAACTGTGGAAGTCACTCAGTGCAATCCACCTTTTCAGGTAAGAGTTCTATCTGTACAGTGAACTACAGATGACAAGAACGTACTGAGTTGTTTGTCCTAATGCTGTAGGCTCAGATTCTTTTGAGAGATTTACTTGGAAGTCTTGAGATACTTTTAAATAGCCAGTTTTTAGGCATTGCATTTTGTTTGCCATCTTAGACTCATTACTTTGGACAACCTTAGCTAAAGAGGAATGAGGGTGGAAGCAGCTGACGGCAAGCCGTTGTTTAATGTTGTAAGTATTGTTGAATAATGGTGATGTTCATAAGACAAAGACAAAGCCTTAAAGTGTAAATTCATTTCCTTTAGCCTTATACCGTATAGTATCTAATTTTGTTAAATCCTTATTCTTTTTTTTTTAATATTTAAAACATTTTTTATTTTTTTATTAAATCCTTATTCTTAATGTGATTGTAACTAAATACTGTAAGGAAGTCATTTAATTTGTCCTTTTATTTCATACAAACCTTACAGTTCTGATTATGTAAGAAAAACATGCTCAGTGATAAGATTTTTCAGGCAATGCAAAAGAGGCGTAAAGAAAACAGTTTCAGAATAAAAACATTATGGAATACCACTTTTTAATGTTTTGTTTATAAAATTACTTCTTTAATAAATAAAGAATTTATAAAATTAAAAATTTTATAAATTTATAAAAATATAAATATATAAATATAAATTTATAAATTTATTTAAAAATTTATAAAATTACTTCTTTAATAATAAACAGTATATTTAACATTTGCTGATTTCATTTAATTAGGTCATATTTCTGTTTCTGCTAATATAAACAATTTATATATAAAATAAACAAATTAATATAAAATAAACTAATTTATATGTATAGATTAATATATACATATAATTTATATATATACATATATATACACACAAATTAATTTATATATAAAATAAACAAATTAATTCAATTTTCTTGTGCTTGGTATCTTCACAGTGAAGTAAGAACCAAAATGTTCACCAGGGATCACTTACAAAGTATTTGCCAATTTTAAATTAGTAATAAAATAAATCAGTCTTTTAATTTCTTTTCTCATGTTTGTTATAGGCTTTTAGTTAGAATCTTACCATCATGTAATTTTCAAAATTTGCTGATTATTTACAACTCAACACATGATTTCTCTCTAATTGATGTTTATAAACTTACATCGTATTTTGTAAATCATCCCAAGAGTAGTATTTAGGTTTTGACAAAGGACAGTCGGAATTATTGTATCACTTTTATGAGATAGTGTATAAAAATACAAGTTACAAAATTATGCAGGCAAGTATTTTTGTTTTAATTATCGTTAAACATAATCTGACATTTAATTTTCAGTCTGAAGACTTGATTATGTGTCGGTTGATGGTCCCAAACTTTTCAAATCAGACTGCCTATCTGTACACTGAAAGTGCTGTCTACGTGTGCGCCACAGGAACTGGGAAGTTTTCTCTTCCTAGGGAGAAAATTGTCTTTAATACACAAGGTACAGTATCAGTTTTAGAAAGGGTGATTAATGACTTGTTAGTCGTTCTTAGCGGTTTTTATTCTCTTTCCATAAGTGTTAAGAATGCTACCCCCAGGTGTTATTTAGACATTCACTACCACAGCAGTAGTAGCTGACGTCACAACCCTACTGAAAAACCAAAAGGGTAGTAAAATTCCCAAACTGTTATATTTTTGGGCAAAAGATAGTAATATTTTCCCCTATAAGAGGCCAGGAAACAAAGAATTGACACTAAGAGAAGTAACTGCTTATTCCTAGATAGACTAATTTATCCTGAGTTGATGTTCTTTAAGTAAGTTTGTCCAGACTCCTGGCTAAGAAGAATCCTGGGTACTGGACTCACGCAGGGGGGGCTGGAATGGCGGCCAAGGATGGGGGAGCCAGCCAGGAGTGAATAAAAGCAAAACAAGCAGTCTAATCAGGATAAAGAGACTGAGCAGATGGCAAAATCCAAGCGAGGCAACAGGATGGAACCTAGATTTTCTAGTTTTAACACAAGAACCTTGACTTTGGGTAGGGAGAATGTTAATAAGGAATTGAGCAAACAGACTTTTTCCCCGTCTCCATTGACCTACTCAATAAATACAGAAAGAGGGCAAGAGGACTCCATTGGATTAAAAAGCTGTCATTCTGAGTTTTGCAGAATGAATAATTTTCTTTTTTGGCTTATCATACCCACTGCTAAATGCAAGGCTTGTTTTTGTTGTCCCCAAACCGAATGACACAGAGCCTGGTATTTCAAATAGCAACAGGTTCCTGACATTTGATCTAGATTTAAAAAGCTGAGTTCAAAGTAGGAGGATTATTGTAAAGGAAAAAAAAAGTTCTTAGTGTATCAAGATGATGATTTTTTGCTTAGGGCGGTAGATTTTAGAAAGCATTTTTTTGTTATGTATGTCTGTGTATTTTTCTTTCTTTTAGGAGATAGTATTTTAGGAGCTGGTTCCTGCGGTGGTTTTCCTATCCTTTTTTCTAGAAACAGTGGGTTGGTGTCTATTACTTCAAGGGAGGGTGTGTCTATATTAGCAGAAGACCTTGAAGATTCCCTAGCATCTTCAGTTGCTGGACCCAGCAATGAGGTAATGTGGTTCCATAAGATTTTAAGATTTTTGTCAGGGTATTTCCCACAAATGTTTTAGAGTAACAGTTTTAAGAGTTGTGATGAAAACATAATTCTTTTACCTCCTTCATCTCCTCTGTCCTTTCCAGAAGCAGCTCCTTTTCAGTCTTTTATCTGTTTCTGCTGGTATTTTCTCCATATTTCTAAGTGATACCATATGTTGCCATCTCTTAATTCACCAATATTAGGCATCTGTTGATTTCCTATTATAGAAGATAAGGATTTAGGATAACTTACTTTGGTTTCCTTGGCTTTAGGAGACCTATCTAGAAAAATGTTGCTGCAGCCAATGTCAGAGAAACTACTGCCTTTGCTCTCTTCTAGGATTTTTATGATTTCAGGTCTCACATTTAGGTCCTTAATCACATTTTGAGTTTATTTTTGTGTGTAGGGTAAGAAAGTGGTGCAGATGCACTTTGCATATAGCCGTCCAGTTTTCCCAACACTGTTTGTTAAAGAAATGGCCTGTTTTCCAGTGCATATTCTTGCCTCCTTTGTTAAAGATTAATTGATCATACAATTGTGCATTGATTTCTGGGCTCTCTAATCTGTTTCGCTGATCTGTGTGTTTTCATGCCAGTACCATACTGTTTGGATTACTACAGCTTTGTGGTATAACTTGGTACCTGGGATACCTTTGTGGTATAACTTGATACCTCCTCCAGTTTTTTATTTTTCAGGATTTCTTTGGTTATATATATACCTTTTTGATAAGGTATTTAGTCCATTTTATCTTGTTTTAGTAAATGTCTTAAGTAAACTGCTGGTATAAAGAACATGGTAAACAGCTATGTGTCTGTGTTGTTGCTGTCATAGGTGGGTCTGATTTTTTTGTCCAAGAATTCAGAATATTTTGATACTTTCACCTCTAAATTACAGTTTTTTTATTTGACAGAGTATGGTTTTTGAGCCTTCTACAAAGAATGAAACCATAGTCCAAGAGGATAAAACCAAACTGTTAAAAGCTGCTTTTCTGCAATATTGCAGGTATGAAAAGTTTTTTAAATTATGGCCTATTTAATTTAAGCCTGGGGACACATTTTACTGATATATGCTACTTTTTTGTTGACTGATGGGAGTAAGGTGGAGGAATGATGCCACCAAGGAGAAGATTTTTCTGAGCTTCAGTGCTATTAAAGCTTTGTTAAAAACTTACTCTGAACTTGATAGGCAAAAGAGGCTTCCAGTTAGTCTAGGAAAAATCATGGTGTAACATATTCTCTCCACTTAACGGATAACAGTGAGCTATTAAAAATGGTGGTCGTGAAAGACATTTAGCAAGCGTGTTTTATGTATACTGTGAAGGCAAATAAGTTGCATATAGTGGTTCAGATGTTATAGAGAATTGGATTTTGTCTATTCTTTGGGTTTTGTTGCATACAAAATCATCAGAGAACATAGTTGTTTTTTTAATACAGCTCATGATTCTGTAATCTGGCTGTCTGGGGTTGGGCATAGGTGGCCATTTTATGCTTCCCATCTGAATTCACTGTCCATGATCAGTGCCAGCCATCCTGGTTAGACTTGCTCACATTTTTCTTTAATATTTTATTTATTTTCTTGACACAGAGAGAGAGAGAGAGAGATCACAAGGAGGCAGAGAGGCAGGCAGAGAGAGGGGGAAGCAGGCTGTCTGCTTAGCAGAGAGCCTGATGCGGGGCTGGATCCCAGGACTCTGAGACCATGACCTGAGCCCAAGGCAGAGGCTTAACCCACTGAGCCACCCAGGTGCTCCCATTTCGAGGGCTCTGGTCGTCTCTCTGATCATGTGTGCTCTCATCATCTAGCAGATTAGCCTTGTTTACGTATCTCATGCATGGCAAGGCGTGGCAAGAGATTAAGCCTCAGTGTACAAATGCTTTTCAAATCTCGGCTTGGGTCATATTTGCCAATATCCTATTGGCATAGCAAATTACAGGGGCGAGCCCCCCCCCCGCCCCCGCATGGGAGGGTGCTGATAGGGAGTGTGCATACGGGAGGGGAATGATACTCAGTTTGCCACACTTGATGACCTAATACTTCTGGATTCAAGGCAAATTCAATCATTTGTTTGTCCTAGAGATATATTTTGCATATCATGTACCTTCCTTAAAAGGTATAGTAAATTCATGTTTGAATGAACACTAAGGAAAATTGAGATCTAGCCTTTGTTCTGCCCTTAAATAGCTGCGTGAAACTTTGGACAGATTGCTTACATTTCTGGAATTTTGTTTCTTTCTCTGTGAAGTGTTGAGTGGGGTCGCCATTGGGCTGTCTGAAGGATCATTAGTTTATCTGGCAGGTCTTTGTTTTGAAGTTATAGTCAGAGTTTACTACCTCTGTATCCCCCAGTTCTCAGCTCGTGATCCCATGGTCTCACCAGTAGTGGTATTTAATGCATAGGAGTTCACTCCCACAAGGGGAATAGCACATAACGTTTTACAGTTCTGTGCCACTGGGGCGCCTGGATGGCTCAGTTGGTTAAGGATCTGCCTTTGGCTCAGGTAATGATCCCAGGGTCCTGCAATTGGGCCCCATATCGGGCACCCTGCTCAGGGGGGAGTCTGTTTCTCCCTCTCCCTCTGCTCCTCTCCCTGCTTGTGCACCCGCTGTGTGCTCTCTCTTTCAGATGAATAAAATCTTAAAAAACACACATAATTCTGTGCCATCAAAATAATCTACTGATTATTATTAGTTTCTCATCCAGAAGAGGGCACCATTAGACAAGTTTTTTGGTTCTGTTTTTAAAATGTATTCTTTTAATTTTGCTCTATTGCATGGTATTCAGTCTTACTGCCAGGATTTGGATTAAAATACTATGATCGTGTCTTACACAAGTTTGTCCTTTAACAATTTTGACAGACTTGTAGCATCTCAAAATTTAAAAGATAATGGAGCAAGTCACCATAGTCCTTGTATTAGTTTCCTGGGGCTACTGTAACAAATCACTACAAACTGGGTGACTTCCTAGAAATTTATTCTGTCGTGGTTCTGGAGGCCAGAAATCCAAAATCACGGTATCATCAGGGCCATGCTCCCTCTGAAAGCTCTAGGGAAGAATCTTTGCTTGTCTCTTTCCTAGCTTCTGATGGTTGCTGGCAATCATCAACATTCCTTAGCTTGCACGTGGATCACTCCAGTTGTTTCCATTACCACATGGCCTTCTTCCCTGCGTGTCTGCCTTTACATGTTCTCCTAATCATGACACTTGTCGCTGGATTTATAGCCCACCCTAATTCAGTGTAACTTCACCATAACTTAACTAATTATATATGCAAAAACCTTATTTCCAAATAAGGTCACATTCTGAGGTTCTGGGTGAATGAGGATATGGAGGGATGCTATTCAACCCCATGTAGTCATTTCTAAATGTTCTGTAGGGGAAGATTATTAAGCTCGAAAAGGAATCCCCTGACTTGAAGTCCTAAGGGTATAGTAACCTTAGGAATAGGGTCATGGATCTCTAGCACAGCTGTGCCTTCAACTTACCCCGTGAGGCTAACGAAATCATTTCGGGGTTGGTATGAACCTATTAATAGTCTTAAGGAATTAGATTCTTCACAAATGGAATCATACTTTTAAAGCAGGGTTTTGCTACCTCATCACTGTTGACATTTGAAGCCATACGATGTTCTACTGTGAGCTATCCTGTGAATTGTAGAATATGTAGCAGCCACAGCTGGCCTCTTCCTACTTGGTGCCGGTAGCACCCTCCCCCAACTTATGACAACCACAATTATCTTCAGATATTGCCGCATGCTCCCTAGCGGCTGAAATGAGTAGATCACACTCAAAAAAGTTCTGTGTTTCGTTTTTTGCTAAGGTTAATATTGCTGTTTCTATGGCATGGTTTCTTTGAAATTAATTTTTACATTATTTTTATTTTCACTTGACTCAATATAAATATAAATATATGTTTATATATATAAGTATATATATTATATAATATATAAATATATTAAAATATAAATATATATTTATAAATAAATATAAATATAAATATCTTTCGCTCATGACAGTTTTAAGAAACTTACTCTGTTAATTAAAATAGTTAATTGTTGATTATCTTGCCTTAGCAAACTTTGTATTCCCATAACCTGTAGCATAACCAGGTTTCCAGCTTCAGCTCGGCCTTAAACACTTTTAGGCAGTTTTTCTGTGTTTCTCTATTCAGGTCGATCTCTTGTTCTACCGAGAGTCCATTTCAGTGCTTTCTAACTCTCCTCAGCCTTTTCCATTTCTCTGTCTCTTCTCCCATACTTAGCAGAGGGCTCAGCCTCCTACTTCACAGATAATAGAAGCCATTAGATTGCAACTCCCCTGGACTTAATACCTACACACTTACCTGCACTGCAGCTACTTTTCCTCTTTTGCTCCCTATAAAGTGGGAAGGGTTGCTCTTTCTAAAAAGAATCCCTGTCTTTTTGTTTGTTGGTTTTAAAGATTTCGTTTATACATTGAGAGCGTGTGCGCGTGCAAGCAGAAAGGAGGGCGGGGGAGGGGAGAAAGAGAGGAAATCTCAGATTCCCGCTGAGTGCAGAGCCTGACATGGGGCTCAATCCCACAACCCCAAGATCACGACCTGAGCAGAAATCAAGTTGGATGTTTAATGGACTGAGACATCCAGACACCCCTCTTTGTCCTTGTTTTGAATGCCACAGTCTCTTGCTTCTCTTGAGACTATGTTTTGTTATTCCTCTTCTATATCTTTGACCTCTCTTGTGCTGGCTTCTTCTCACCAGCCATTAATCATATTTAATATACCATTTTAAAAAAACCAGAGGCGGGCTCCTGGGTGGCACATTTGGTTAAGCATCTGACTCTGAGTTTTGGCTCAGGTCACGACCTCAGGGTTCTGATATGGAACCCCCGTTGAGCTCCATGTTCTGTGCCGAATCTGCTTGGGTTTCTCCCTCTCCTTCTGACCCTCCCCCCACTGCAATCTCTCTCTCTCTCTCTCTCTCTCAAATAAATAAATCTTAAAAAAGAAAAGAGACCAGTCTTTGACTTTGTGTCCCCCTCTGATCTACTACCCCTTTTGTTTGTTCCTGTTTATAACTAAACTGCCTGAAAAGTTGTCTGCCTTTGCCGTTGTCTATCATAATTTTTCTCTCTCTACTCTTTTTTTTTTCTTAGTTACTTCATTTGCCAAAGAAACACAGATTTACCATACTCTAGGCTATTATATACAAATGAAGAATGTTCCAGAGTAGCTGTTATTCCACAAGCATCTCAGTTCAATGTGCCCACAGCCTTGCTTGTCTTCTCCAAAGCTTATTCTTTCTCTTTTACCCCCTGTTTCTGCCACTGGTAAAAATGTCTACCATAATACATTCAGCTTCAGAGCAAAAATATATCAGATCCAAACAGTTGCCAATATTTACCTCAAATCTCTTTTTTTTTCTCAAACCTGACTACTTGTCTCCATTCTTCTCTGCAGCTACTGTTAGTGGAGACACCCCTCTCTTGTCTGGGTTTCTGCAATAACTTTTTTTTTTTGGTCCAGATTTTATTTATTTATTTGACAGAGAGAGACACAGCGAGAGAGGGAACACAAGCAGAGGGAGAGGGAGAGGGAGAAGCAGGCTTCCCACCGAGCAGGGAACCTGATGCGGGGCTCGATCCCAGGACCCTGGGATCATGACCTGAGCTGAGGGCAGATGCCCAATGACTGAGCCACCCAGGAGCCCGTACAGGAACTTCCTATCTGAGTATTTCTGCCCCCTGTCCATATCCTAAGATGATCCTTTGGGAAAATAGAACAGATCGTGACACTTTCTTCTTAGTGCCTAAGAAGTGCCTTCTAGTGCCTAGAACTCCATGACATGGTGTGTGAGGTTTTATGTACTCTGTCTTTTGATTGGTGGTGTTTCTGAGAGTCTGCCCTGGAAGGCTTCTTCCCTGGGTGATCTCCTCTTCCCTATGGCTTCAGTTCTTTGCTAAGATATGGACGTACTTACTCACAGGTGTGATGTGTGCTCTCTCTGCCACCGTGTACCCCTCCCCAGAATCCCCTCAGCCTCGCTGCTCCCCTTCTGTAGCTGTAGGCCTCTGCTTATCCACCTTTTCCTCCAGGGAGTTTTCCCTGCCCCTGGGATGGTTTTGGTTTCCCTTCTGTGTGCTCTGTAGCAAGTGCTCTGTTCTTTTCATGTCACAGTATACATGTAACTACTTGTTTAACTCTCTGGCTTGTGACACTGTGTCCTTGGTGAAGTCTTAGAGAGTTTTTTAACGTCTTGTCATTCTGGCTCCAGTGCCTAGCATGTTGTAAGTACTCAACATATGATTATTGCATTAATAAATGCGTAATGATTGTCTCCCTTTTAAATAAATGTTACTGAAAGTAGCTAACTTTGGGGCACCTGGGTGGCTTGGTCCATTGAGTGTCTGACTCGCTCAGGTCACGATCTCACTGGTGGTGAGATTGAACTCCGTGTAGGGCTCTGAGCTCAGTGGGGAGTCTGCTTGAGATTCTCTCCCTCTTCCCTTCCCTTGGCATGCTCTTTCTGTCTCTCTCTCTCTCTCTCTCTCTCAAATAAATAAATCTTTTTTATAAAAGGTAACTTTGGACTAAAATAGGGGACTTTCACTGTTACCTTACTCTTTTTTGAAAGATTTTATTTCTTTGTTTGAGGCGGGGGGAGTGAGTGTGAGAGAGAGTGCGTGAATTAGCACCAGTGGGAGGAGGGGCAGAGGGGAAGAGAGAAGCAGACTCCCCGTCGAGCAGAGAGCCGGTCTCGGGGCTCAGTCCCAGGACCCCAAGATCATTAACTGAAGGCAGACGCTTCACCAACTGAGCCACCCAGGCGCCCCCATAGTTAACTTTTTCATGGTGAATTTTTAAAATGGTTTGCCTCCTTTAATACTTCTATTTTCTAATTTTATTTCAGAAAAGATCTAGGTCATGCTCAAATGATGGTTGATGAGCTCTTTTCCTCCCGTTCTGATTTGGATTCTGATTGTGAACTAGACAGAGCTGTTACACAAATCAGTGTGGATCTGGTGGATGACTACCCAGCGTCTGACCCACGGTGGGCTGAGTCTGTGCCTGAGGGTAAGAAATTCTACTTTTTATATTATGCAGTGATATGTTTTGAGCATATTATGGTTCTTTTATTAAAGCATTTCTTTTTTTTTTTAAAGATTTTATTTATTTATTTGACAGACAGATCACAAGTAGGCAGAGAGACAGGCAGAGAGAGAGGAAGGGAAGCAGGTTCCCCGCTGAGCAGAGAGCCCGATGAGGGGCTCAATCCCAGGACCCTGGGATCATGACCTGAGCCGAAGGCAGAGGCTTTAACCCACTGAGCCACCCAGGCACCCCATTAAAGCATTTCTTGAAGCATTTTTTTTTTTTTTTTTTTAGTTTTTGAAGCAATTATTAGTTTACTTTTTTTAAAAGGTTATAACTTACCTTATAGTAGATTTTGAAAAAGGCTCAGAACATATCTACGTGATAAAAACTGAAGGACTGTTAGAGCAAATCCTGCTTGTTGTATGTGAAGCAGATTAATTAGCCCTACTTAGCTTTCTTACCATTTAATTTCTAAAGGGAAATTGGTGGCATGGATAAGCATTTGGTACCTATTTATTAGCTCCCAAATTAAATGATAATTTTGGCATAATCATTGTATTTGCCTAATAAAAATTATAAATTTCCCAACGAGCAGCAATGAGCTAATCTCAGCATTTAGAAGTGAGCATATCATGTCTCTGCTCTGTGTTTTCCTTTCTGCCCTGGGTGACTGTCCTTCTTACACTTCCGCCACAGAATCACGGGCACTCAGCTTTCCCAGGTACCAGCAAACTGTCTGCAGTGTCCGTTTCTCCCTCTGATTTGCTACTTAGCAAGTTTGCTAAGCCTCATTAGAAGGTTAGGAAGGAAACATCAATGCTAACCTTTTTTCTTTGACTTCATTTTGAGCTGGCAAGCTTAGAATGATATAAATGATTAATAATAACAGGGCTTGTGTTTTGAATAAATATAGAATGAATTGTGTCAAACTACCGAAATTTTCGTCTGAATTTTTTAAAATCTTGGGTAATGTTACAAATAGTCGCAAATAGTTCCATGAAAAGGTTGGTAGTTTCCTTTAGTGTATAGATATTTTTAAAGTTTTTAATTTAATAGCAGTAATTATTGTAAAGCCAGTACATTATGTGTTTAAATTTTGTTCTTATGTTTCAACAGAAGCACCTGGGTTTAGCAATACCTCACTGATTATTCTTCACCAGTTAGAAGACAAGATGAAAGCCCATTCTTTCCTTATGGACTTTATTCACCAAGTAAGCATCCTAGTTGCTGTGAACAAGAATGGCCAGGACACCTGGCTTTACTGTGTCTTTTGTCACTCTCTCCAGGACAGTGGGAGATCCTTTCTTATTCTGAGGTGTTTTGTGGGGTTGGACAGGACTAGTGTTTTCCAGTTTCTTTGCTGACTTGGAAGTAAATAAGTCCAGGGCTGTTGGGGGATGGGGAGCTATTCAAGTATAAAAGCTGCATGGAAAACAGGCTGAAAAGAAGAAAAACAGTGTATTTCCACAGAAATGTTTCAACTTTAAGATTCTATGATACCTGTGTGGTTTTATGTCAACTTAGGTTTTCATGAATTGCTTTGTATTATTGAAAAGATCATGAAGAATAGTAAGGAAGGCAATGGCAGATTTTGATTTTTGGGTTATAAGTTTGAAATGCCATTAGAATCAATTCCTTATTTAAAGTTTGTGGTGGTTTTTTGTTTTTTGTTTTGTTTTGTTTTTTTATGGAGTATCCCCATTTATATTGGGCCTAAAATTAGAATATGTTTTTGCAGCTAGACAGAATTGTTACACAGTATCACTTAGCAAGTGATACTGAAGGCTGTTGGAGCAAATCCTGCTTATTCTATGTGAAGCCGATTAATTAGCCCTTGTTGATCAGTAGTGGCTCCCAAGCATGTTATATATCCAAATGAGTACATTTAATCCCACTTGTGCTTATTTTTTCCGAAATTGGTAATGCCTTCATATTAAAGAGATTACGATGCTGTCTAATAGAACTTTCTGTGGTGATGAGAATGTTCTATATCTGTGTTACTCAGTAGTCACAGGCAGCTGCTGAGCACTTAAAATATGGGTGGTACAACTGAGGAACTATATTTGTTTTTAATTTATTTTAGTTAAATTTAAATCATCACTTTGGTGGATAATGGCTACCTTATTGAACAGGTCAGTTCTAGATGATTCCAGAATGTTTGTCATGTATGGTTTGGCTCCTGTCTACTTTTATTGTCTTGGCAAGGGCACTCCAATCATTCAAGTCTCTCTCTTTTCTTTTTAAAGTGGTTTAGATAGACTACAGACTAATGGCGGGGGGGACAGATTTGTTCTGATGTAATTGTTTATTTAGTCAGATGTATCAGTTAACTATTAATACCTAACAAACCATCCCAAAATGTGGATCAAAACATTTCTTTCAGGTACCTGGGCAGTTTTTCTGTGGATTTCAGGTGGTCCACTCCTTGAACTGCATTTAGGGTTGGCTGAGCTGGAAGGTCCCCAAGCGTCTCTCGCCTGACATTGGATGTCAGTCTGTCAGTTGGGCCACATGGTTCTTCTCTTCTACTTAGTTTGTAATTCTCCTTTAGGCTGAACTGGCTTTCTGTGGTCTCAGGACAGCCCTCTATGGGGATGAATTTAGAAGCTGTAGTCTTCCTCAGGTCTTACCCTAGTTGTCACAAAATGTCACTTCCACCAAAGTGACATTGGTCAAAACAAGTCACCAGCCAGTCCAGATGAAAAGGATTCTACCTCTTGATGGGAGGAGGCCCAAAGTCTTGTGGCAGGAGGGTTGTGTCGTATATACTGGGATGGAAGGAGTTCATGCCTTACTATGTGACACCGAGGAGACACTAATTTATCAGAGGGTGAGAGAGCCATGGGTAGGAGCAGTTGCTGTATCTCTTGGCACAACCTCCCTGGGCTTCAGAAACCCTGCTGGAGTCATTCAACTCTTAGAGGCAGTGTCCACTGCCAGGTAATACCTAGCTGGATCTAAAAACCCCATTATTGCTATGCCTTTATGTTTGAATTACCTTTAATATTTCAGAGCATATTATTAATTGTTAATTATTATTAACGTAAACGATTGTATAACCAGATACTTGTCTCTAAGGAAATACTTTTTTTTTTTTTAAGATTTTATTTATTTATTTGTTAGAGAGAGAAAGAGCATGAGGAGGGGGAGTGGCAGGCAAAAGGAGAGGCAGGCTCCTCGCTGAGCAAGGAGCCCAATGTGGGACTTGATCCCAGGACCTTGGGACATGACCTGAGCTGAAGGCAGACACTTAACTGACTGAGCCACCCAGGTGTTCCTGAGGAAATACTTCTGAATATGAGGTTCTCCTCCTCAAGCCAGGTTCTGTGCCAATAAGGCCCTATCTCATGCTAAAGAGAATGAGAATTAATATCAAGGCCTCAGGACAGTACCTCTGCCTCCAGTTTTCAGGCACTGAGGGAAGCATATGTCTTCACACGTAGTTTGGAGAAGCTTAGAAGCAGGAAGTTACTGTGCTCCTGTTTGTTATGTGGCTTGAGTGACGCTAATATGTAGACATCACTTCACTGGCAGTGCTGCCGTGCTGAGGTGAGGAAAAGCAGGCAGGCAGAATTCCCTCAGGTAAAAACTGCATTTACAGTATTTGTGAGGGAACCAGGAAGAGAATTCAAATCCGAAATGACTATGCAACTCTTTTTTTTTTTTTGACTATGCAACTCTTATTTTAAAATAACCAGGTAAACAGGTCAAATAAATTAAGACAGGTTGATTCAGTGACCTATTCCATGGTCATTAAAAATAATGTAAAAAAAAAAAAATGAGTTAATGTGGAAAAAAATAAGGTACAGACAATATAGTGTGACTCCTTCGTGTTTTAAAAAAAAGAAAAATGCCTCCTAGCATATGAGTGCCACAAAAGCAGATAAAGATAGGGAAATTTAATTGTAGCTCCAGTAGGGAATGGGCTGGGGACTCTTACCTCTCCATACTATTAAGTTTTCTAACCATGTGCAAGCCTGGCTCTCCGCTTTTGCCATGGACAGTGTGGTGGAGAGATTTCCAGAATGGTGACCTACTGCAGTGTGGGTCAGTTCTCCCTTTTTCTTGTGTTCTGTGAGGGGAAAACAGGACTCTTTGTAGACTGCCCTAGCTAGGTAACCTGTATTGTAGCTTTCGGAGTCGTGAAAGTTTGTAACTCGTACCCCAACACAGACAGCTAGCACTGGGAAAGGCCATGTGGTTTTTCCCACGATTTTCCAAGTTTCTTCTTTTCTAGGGTGTTGGTTTACTAGTGAAGGAATTAAGAAAACAGATCTCGCACTCGCGCAGACAAGAATCATGCCTGTCTTTTGCAAACGTAGCAGGTACATTGAGCTTTAGGAGTGTCACAGAGGTCTAGCCCCTCTGTGTGAGGACTCTGTTTAAACACTGAGCAGGTGCCCCGCTGCACCCCAATGCCAGCATTAGTCAGGGCAGGCTGGGAGCTTAGTGCCTGAGTGACTCCTGCAGGCTGCTAGGCCTAGGCGTTCAAATCCTGCCTTGCACATCGCGGTTCAGTCTTCCCGTTCATAGAAACCTCGTTGATGCCCCCAACTCACGGACGGTTGCTGTTTTACAGAGTAGAATTCATCAGGTTTAAGTCCTCCTGCTCTAACTACAGCCTGACATATGGGTCATGAGTCTAGACCCTCACTGCATACAGGGTCCTTTAGGGGTCTGGCTTGAGGAAAGAAGACTTTAAAGGGACCAGTGTGAATGAAATAGTGCCGGGAGTCTGACAGGGTTCCAGTTCTCTTTGTACCATGGGGAATCCAAGGTGGCAGGCCAAGTTCAGCTGAGGGCTCTGGTGGCCACATTGTGCCTCGCAAGCCCTGCATTGTTGGTTGAGCCCCAGAGGGAGTGTGTTGGGAAGAGATGCCTTTGTGAAACGTTTTGTACTGTTCTCTTTCATGGGTCAGAGCTTCACAGCCTCTTTCCTGGCTTTGCTGTTCACTAGGGGTGGCAGAGGATGTTCCCGAGAGCATTGAGGTCTGACCTACCGTATTATCCTTCATTCTGGCCCCAGTTTATCAGACCCACTCTCTGTTTGGTTGTATTCCGTGAACGAAGGGTTCACGTGTGCTGTCATTTTAGTTGATAGTCTTTATATGTAATTGCTGTAGATGCTCCAAAGTCAGGGTGCAGCTTTTCTTTGAGCAGTTTAACTAGTGAATTCAGCAGCAAAGTGACAAGAAATGGTTCTCCAGCCAAGAGAGGTCATGTTCATCCTCTTACTGTCCAGATTCTCTGCTCACAATAGTAGTCAGTGAGAGGTGCTGCTGGGCACGGCACCCTGGGCACGCAGCATTTTCGTGTCAGGTCACAGTGTAGAAACAGTCTTCTCAGGACAGGCTTAGTTGGTTAAGTGGCCCCCTGCGTTCGGGTCATGGTCCCAGGTTCCTGGAATCAAGCCCCACTTTGGTTTCCCTGCTCGGCAGGTGAGCCTGCTTCTCCCTCTCCCTCTGCTTGTGCTCTCTGTGAGATAAATAAAATCTTGAAGAGAACAGTCTTCTCTCATTTAGGAAAAATGAAAGAGCTTTTTTGCACAGAGAAAAAGGAAAAAGACCCACAATGTCAACTTTTGTCTTTTGTGTTCAGCTGCCTGATGTTGCAGTGTTTGTTCTTGACATGCATAAACCAGACTTCAAGACACGAGTTGTTTTGGCTTTTCACTACAATTACCCCTTGTTCCTCCTGTCTTGACTGCTGATGTTCCTCAATGATTCTGATGTCTCTTATACAGAAAGAGTGGCTCCTGTGGCTTGCCATTTACACACTGTAGGGCTCTCTTTATACTTTAAAAAAAGAAGAGGGAGAGGACTGTCACTAACCTCATGGGGGATTCGCAGAAAACCGTTTTAGCCCTTTTAGCAAAAGGTAGATTTCTCATTGTTTCTTTAATAATAAACGTTGTAATAAATCTAATTCAGGAAAAAAAAAAGTTTCCTAACCATTTGTGGTTTTTGCCCATTTCAGTAGGACTTCTCTGGGGATTTGAGGCATTGTTTATTTTTGTTTTTTTTTAAAAATAAACCTCAGCATACAAAAATCAAGTCACTCAGTAATAAAATTTGGAAGAGTATTCAGTGTTTAGATGTGTCTCTTGGCTTCTTCCTAGTTGGGATGTTAACGCTTTATCAGATGAGAAAGCTTAGAAGAACTTCCAGAACCTAGTAGTAACACATCAGAAATGGGCATCGGGCAGATCGGAGGTAGTAGTGCAAAGGATTAGAGATGCCCCCACCTTTCCCATGGCTTTTAGTTTCCATGGAAATTAGTCACTAAAGATGGAGACTGCTGAGTTTCTAGTTCACAGAGATCTAGAACCTTGAGGAGTTAGGTAGAAAAGAGCAATTTTATGCTTTTGATAACCAGAATAAAAGAGAAATAAGATAGAGTAGTGGAATGACCTTAATCTCAGAAAAGGAACATCTGTACTTTTTTATGGTTGCTCATGCCTCTGGCTGAAGAGAGAGAGAGAAAGTGTGTGTGTGTGTCTTTAAAACAGTGGAAAGGAGAAGATAGCTGAGGTACTTTATTGGGGACAGCTAAGGTCAGTGGCTCTGTACCCATTGTGCTGCTGATGGAGATAAGCCTGCATTATATTGTGTGTTACTATAGATGCTTTCTAAGAACATGTGTTTGTTTTTCGCCAGGTTGGCTTATTTGGACGTCTTCACACTTTTGCAGTAAGAGGGATGCCCATGGCAACTCGACTGTTGCTCTGCGAGCATGCCGAGAAGTTATCAGCCGCCATTGTTCTCAAGAACTACCACTCAAGGCTCTCTGACCTGGTGAACACAGCAATAATGATTGCTTTAAACAAGAGAGACTGTGAAATCCCATCCAACCTGACTCCCGCAGACGTCTTTTTTAGAGAAGTAAGAGGAGTTTTTTGCTTTTAATGTGGCTTCTTAGAGCTCTGCCATTTGCTGATCATGCCTCAAACAGGGAGAAGATTGAGGACAAAAAAATCTTTTTGAAATTTTAAATAGGACTCCATATTTACTTATTACATTCCCTATAAATTAGAGCTTGCAAAATTGACTGTTTTCTACTGTCTGCTGGATGTTTTCCTTTTGCCTCTCCAAATCCACTCTTGATGCTGCCCCAGAGGGCAACTTGTCAGTGGGTTTCTGTGCCTTCCTGTTGTCTTTGATAACAGTGAGGCACCATCAGGTTGGGAGTGCTTACCTGTTAATATTTGTTCTGTTATTCCCCCAGCTTCATTCCTTCCCTGCTTCCACTGCAGTTAGCTGTGCCTTCTGTCAGAGACTGCGGCTTCTCACTGGCTGCTCTCCACGTGTCCTGTAACGCCTTCCGCCCAGGGCCCCTTCATGCCTGGGCTTAATAGGGGCTGCCTGTTGCTAGCCCTGGATGCAGCAGCTTCCTGTAGAGCCTCTAGCCCTTGCCAGCACCACCATAAGCTGTCCCTTCACTAAACTCAGCTCAGCTCCCTGCTAGGATCCTACTATCTACCTTGCTTTTACACTCAGATTTATTTTCAAAGGAAAAGAAAACCCTGCTGTGAACTTCCCAGGGAGAAGAGATTAAGACTTTGGCCAGCTGGTGCAGCTGGCTGTTGTGATAATAGTATACAGCTCTTATTCTTGTGCGACTTTACAACCTCATGAAGGGGGAGGGGAGACTTTACTCTCTCCCTATAAAGATGGTGACATTAATGGTTTGAGCTTTTCTCGCAGCTCTGCAATTTGAAATTGTTTTTTTAGCTGTGAGGAACTTTAATTCTATTTAAATTCTATTTGGTGAGTCTCATTTTTATTTCTTCTCTGTTACATTCTAGCTATAATCTAGCAGGATATACCAGAAGTCTTTTTTTCTTCTTAATACAGTTGACCCTTGAACAACATGCAAACCCCCTTGCACAGTGGAAAATCTGTGTGTAACTTCAAAAACTTAACTACTAATAGCTTACTGTTGACCAGAAGCTTTATCAATAGTCAAATTAACACACATTTTATATGTTATATACAGTATTATATACTCATTCTTATAATAAAGGGAATGTTAAAATTTACATAAGGAAGAGAAAATAAATTCACAGTATTGAATTTATATACTGTAGGTATGGAAAAAAATTTGTGCATCAGTGGACCCATGCAGTTTAAATCTGTCTTATTTAAGGGTCAACTATTTTTCATGTACTGTAACCTAAAAATTATTTAAGATGCTGAAATAGGTTCAGGTTTTCTGTTGATTCCATAAATGTATTTAGTTCTAAGAATGCCTTGTTCTTGTATATTTGGGTTAGTATTTTCCTAAGGATATAAGGCAAAGCACTTTTTTGTTTTATTTTTTTATTTTTCAAATGTAGGAAATATCCCCAAAATCTGAATGAAAGAAAAACAGTTCACCTCAAATTTCATGATCTAAACAGTCTGAAAGGAATGTATGCAGAGCCCGCATTCCCCTACCCCCAGTCAGGCTTATGGACTAAACTCACAGGTGTCTGCACTTGGCCCTAACTCTTTGTTGTGTAGGAAGGAGAGGAGAGTGATGGTGTCAGAAATAGAAGTGGGCAAAGAAGGGCTACAGAGAAGGTCACCTACGAGTTGGATAAGAGTACTATTTGGGAGGGAGAGGTTATCTGATGTCAGAGCTGTTCGAAGAGGTGGGGACTATCCCGAAAACCCTGCAGGAGGACCGTCCAAGTTAATTGTTGGGTGTGTGAGGTGTCAGGGTCAGTCCAGGTAAAGGTGAAAATGTCTTGGGATTCTGGGGAGTTGGGAATAGTGAAGAATGCATCCTAAAGTCTAAGTAAAGTACGTGGTGGAGGGTGGAATGGTGGAGAAGAGGGTGTATGAACTGGGACAGTGGGGCGGATAGCGATGACTGCGTCGTTGATCATTCTGAGATCCTGAACAAGTCTAGAAGAGCTATCTAGCTTGTTGGCTGGAAGGATTGGAGTACTGTAAGAAGAGTTAGTAGGTTTCCGTATATTTAAGGAAAGGGATTTGGAAATGAGGGGTTGTAAGTCTCTCAAGGCCTCACGTTTGAGAGGCTATTGGGGTTTGAAGGGAAAAAGGTAGGAGGATCCTTAAGGTATATAGATTCCTTTCACAAACTGTTGTAACTTTTGTGTTCTTTTTTTGGTCTTTGTTCTTACATAATTTTACATGGCAAAGCAAATTTTTTAAGAAGTTATTAACAAATTCTTTGGAAGAATTGAGTAAGAGCCTGGTTCCATTTTCTGTTTTTGGATCAAAATGGAAAGCATACTAGTTAATTCATTATACCTGTGTTTTCCAGTTAACGGGGGTGGAGGGGGGGAGGAAGAATCTGGAAATTATCAGTTGGATCTATAATTCATGAGTAGTACCTTAGGAATATGATAGAACAAAACAAAAAATGTGATTGGTTCTTCAAAAGAACGGTCCATATGGAAAATGGTAATGCTTAAGACTCTGTGTCACCATTTAAAAAAAAATTTTTTTTTATTTAAAGATTTTTACTTATTTATTTGACAGAGGTCACAAGTAGGCAGAGAGGCAGGCAGAGAGAGAGAGAGTAATAAGCAGGCTCCCTGCTGAGCAGAGAGCCCACTGTGGGGCTCGATCCCAGGACTCTGGGATCATGACCTGAGCCGAAGGCAGAGGCTTTAACCCACTGAGCCACCCAGGCGCCCCGATGTCACCATTTATTTTCATTCCTCATGGTGTTTACTGGTCTTGTTTCCTTTGGGGTGTAGTTTTGAATCCTAGGGTTCCATAGAGTTAACTGCTTAAGGGACAGACTGTTGGGTCCCCGTATGAATAGTGTTTGAAATCACTGAGTATGCACTCGTGGTGAAGGTGTTTAGTAATTGTTTTGACATTTTATTTGCTTTTATATATACTTTTTAAGATTTTATTTATTTATTTGTCAGAGAGAGAGAACAAAATCAGGAGGAGCAGCAGAGGCAGAAGGAGAAGCAGATTTCCTACTGAGCAAGGAGCCCAAATTGGGGCTTGATCCCAGGACCCTGGGATCATGACCTGAGCCGAGGGCAGACACTTAACCGATTGAGCCATCAGGCATCCCTGCTTTTTTATCTTCTGCTTTTTTATGTCATACATGCTTTCTTACCATTTTCACATTAACAGTATTAAGAACTTCTGGCATTTAATCTTACAAATTAAATGAGCCAAAAGTCTCTTGCTGGGGCTGTTAGGATGCCTTTGACTAACACCTGAAATAGAAAAGGAAGAACAGGGTTTAAAAGACGATTTGGGGGGGTCACATTTTGCATGTTTTGTTCCTTCAGCTAGTTTGTAAGCTTAAGGGCAGCAAACCTCACTTCTGTTATTTCTGTGCGTGCTCAATGCTATACAAACTCTTAATGTATTAAGTAAATACTCACTTAATAAAGGGGGGAAGTTTGGGGTGCCTGGATGGCTCAGTGGGTTACGTGTCTGCCTTCGGCTCAGGTCATGATCTTAGGGTACTAGGATTGAGCCCTGTAGCAGGCTCTCCGCTCAGCAGGGAGCCTGCTTCCTCCTCTCTCTCTGCCTGCCTCTCTACCTACTTGTGATCTCTCTGTCAAATAAATAAATAAAATCTTTTATAAATAAATAAAATAAAGGGGAGGAGTTTCACTGTGGGCTGAAACTGGAAATAGGTGTTTCAGTGCTTAAAGAACATTTTGGCTTCATTATCTTCATGTGTTAATAATGACAAAAAATTAGAAAAGAAGTTACATACATTTGACTCTTGAACAATGTGGAGGCTTAAGGGTGCTAACCTCCCACACAGTCAGAGTGTTTTAAAAAATCATAAAGGAGAAATTTACTGTACTGTATCGAAAAACATCCACGTGTAAGTGGACTCATGCGGTTCAAACCTTTTTGCTCAAGGATCCCTTGAACATTATTTTCTCTTTCTACTTCCTTTTAAATTTATTTTTACCATCCGCTGTTTTATTCTGGCTAATGAACTGAGGATATTCCTTGATGAGAAAAGCCTCTTGAGTAGATTCTGGGCAGTTGTAATTACTAGGCATCGCCATAATTTTTGTTTTGCCTTCTCTGTACTTCCCCCAGGTGTCCCAGGTAGACACTGTCTGTGAGTGCTTGCTCGAGCATGAGGAGCAGGTCTTAAAGGATACATCATTGGAATCCGTTGAATGGGCTGAGGTGGTCATCAATGTGAACAGTATTCTTAAGGTATAAAACTACCGTGAAGATTTCAGCAAATCAAAGACCAGAGTGTGGATAGAAGAGAAAGTGGCTTCCGTATTCCTACTCTGTATTGCCAGTAATTTATAAGTGTTTAGCATTTAATTCCAAAAATTTAGAAAAATACCAGTCATTTTATTAATCAGCCAAACATTTTGAATGTTTGCCTTGTGTATTAATTTCTATGTTCCTGAGTCGTGTTTGGTAAAACAAACCTTTTATTTGGAGAAGGATGGATATATCATTACAAATGTATAAATATTACACTAACTATTTAAATAAATCACTCAAAACGTTATTGTTTATATTACTGATTAAAATGTGCCATTTAGTCTTAGCTAATGGTCTTTATAGCAATGGTTTTCCTACTTTGGTTACTATAGTTTTCCAAAATTGAATTTAAATTTCAAATGTAGAATAAGAACCAAAAAGTAATTCTGCAGACCTGTGCCGAGTAATTTTTGGTATTAATAGACTTTGATGTTTCAAATTACCTTTAAAAATACTGGGATTCATCACTTTCTGCACATGCTAACACGTTTTCTTTCCCCAGGACATGCTACAAGCTGCTAGTCATTATCGACAAAATAGAAACTCCTTATATAGAAGAGAAGAGCCACCAGAACAAGAACCTGAATATGTTCCTTGGACGGGTGAGATTTCAAGCACTGAGCCCAAATACACTGATTTATTATTAACAGTGATTCAAAATATATTCCTAATGACCTTTTTGGAAGCTATATTACTCCATTAGTGTAGGTTTATAAGTGAAATGAGAAATAAGTGCTGTCTCCAGAATGAGCAATTCTCGTGAAAATTGCTTTATTTCCTTGAATAATTTATAGATCTCTCCATGATGTATTTCATAGTACTTACTATGTGTCCACTAGATTTTATTTTTTAAGTAATTGCTACCCCCAACGAGGGACTTGAACTTATGACCCCAGGATCGAGAGTCGCATGCTCTAGTGACTGAGGCAGCCAGGCACCCCATGTCTACTAGATTTTAGGGCATATAGTTATTCAAAGAAGCACATCCTGGTTATGGAGGTGTTGGCTCCATTTAATGTTGATTTAATACAAAAAAGTATGTGGAGCAGCATCAAAGGGATTTAGAAGGAAGAAGGACCATGTTTACCTGGCTTTGTTGGGGAAGTCTCCCATAGAGAAGATGGGATTTGAGCAGGACAGAGAGGTATCTATCAACTGAAACCCTGTTTGATTTCTTTTTCCAGCAGCAGTGAGGTGATAGGTTTTAGGCAGTTGGCCTTTCTCAGCCAGTGTAGAGCCCTTACTTACTGTATTAATTTGTGTGATTTCACAGCAACAAGTGGTCCTTCAGGCATCCGAACAGTAATAGAACGCCAGCATGGGATTGTCCTGAAAGTGGTTTATCCTCAGGCAGACAGCAACCTCCGAAACATTCTGACGGAGCAGCTGGTGGCACTGATTGATTGCTTCCTGGATGGTTATGTTTCCCAGCTGAAGTCTCTGGACCGATCTGGTGATCAAGAAAGATACAACAGTCTGGAGATGGAGTACCTCCAGAAGAGATCAGATCTCTTATCTCCACTTCGTAAGTACATGGTATTTAGTGAGGCCGTGGGTCTTCGAATTTGCAGAACGGATGAAGGAGTCAAATCATTAATGCAGCGTGTTCAGTGTCCTGTCATTCACCCAGCCGTAACCAAGGACTTACTGCATGTGTGCACAGCTTCCTGTGTTCATTTGTTCCGCCTTGTCTTCAAAACTTCCTAGGTACAAGTACCATGCTGAAGAGGATTTGAAAAGGTAAATTAGCAACAAATGGAGGCTGTCCTCCAAGCTAGTCATCTGAGACCTTCACACAAATAACTAGTCTGCCCAGTAGAGCACGATGAGGGCTGTTAGAGGGCGCAGCTAGGAGAGTGTGGCTGTTCAGCAAAGGACACGTTCTTTTCATAGCTAGGATGAGGAAGAGGGGCTTGTACACACAGGAAGGGCATAGCCTCCTAGGTAGGTGGGAACAAGCAGTGGATTAAATTTGTGTCTTTAATGAATTTATGTGGATTATGAAACTGAATGCCAGTAACTGGAAAGGTTTCTATTCCATTAATTGTTTTTAGAGTATGGTATGAGTTAAAGGTAAAATTTCAAGTAATATTTTTTTCATCACATAATAAGTTTTCACTAACAGGATTTTTTTTTTTCCATCTGTTCTCATTGTTACAGTCACACTAGGCCAGTACCCGTGGGCTGCTTCATTAGCAGAAAAGTACTGTGACTTTGATATCTTAGTACAGATGTGTGAGCAGACAGACAACCAGGCCAGACTCCAGCGCTACATGACCCAATTTGCTGATCAGGTAATGAACACCGTGGACATAGGCAGTCGATCGTGTACTTGGTTTTACCATTTCAAATGTTCGGTTTTTAGGAAGATGCTGTTAATTTAGATACTAATTTGTACATTATGTTTCTTTGTGAGTTGGCAGACAATTCCAAATATTACTGAAAGATTCTTTGACCTTTGTACAAAGTGTTAAAACTCTCAGTTCTATTCTGGTATTTCTAGTTATAATTAAAAGTACTTGGGTAGACGGATATTGGAAGAGTTTTAAAACTTTGAAAAAATTTCATGGAAGCACAGGATCCTACAACTTTTGGAGAGCTCAGCTTTTCTTGATTGACATAATGCTTATTATTTTTCTCATTATGACAATCTTTAGGTGAATTTTAGTTGCTCCTTAAAGCCATTTTATTCAGTCAGTTGATATTCATGTAAAAACCGATTTTTTTTCCTACTGTAAAAGTGACATTGTATAAAATTCGGAAAACGTCTATAAAATAGAAAATTTTAAGTCACTCACAATTTCACCACCCAGAGAGAACCCTTTTTAACATTTGGTTTGTATTGTTCTAGTCTCCATACTCTGTAATATTGCAGACAAACATGTTTCGCGGATTGCTTGTTTCCCTTAATACATCATTGATATTTGTGCTTATCATTAACTGTTTCACAACCATGTTTTTGATGGTGTTAATGGTATATTGTAAACTGGGCGTAACTTACCATATTTGACTAGGGCCTAGTAAATACCTTTGTGCCCATCATGATTTTTGTTCTTTTTGTGGACTCTAATCCCGTGTGGACATTTTCCATCCATTTTTGTATTCATTTACTTTCTTTTTTTTTTTTTTTTTTTTTTTTAAAGATTTTATTTATTTATTTGACAGATAGAGATCACAAGTAGGCAGAGAGGCAGGCAGAAAGAGAGGAGGAAGCAGGCTCCCTGCCGAGCAGAGAGCCCCATGTGGGGCTCGATCCCCGGACCCTGGGACCATGACCTGAACTGAAGGCAGAGGCTTTAACCCACTGAGCCACCCAAGCGCCCCTCATTTACTTTCTTTAATATGTTTAGTAGTTATTTAAAAATCCTTACATGCTACCTCCAAAATCTGATCATTCTCTGGTCTGTTCTGTTGTCTCCTTATTAGTCATATTTTTCTGTTTTTTATGTCTTATAATTTTTTTTGTTTTATTTTGGATATTGTGTATAAAAGAACCTTAAAGATGGAAATGAATGCTATTTTTCCTTGGGGAGGCAGATAGGATGAGAGGCAGGTCACTCGATTCATCAAGAATAGGGGTGGGCCAAGGCTTGGTTTCAGCTTTTGTTACATTCATTTCATGTCCAGTTTTGAAGTCTTGTGGGACTGGTGTGTTTGTTGCAGAGTTCCCTCTTTAGTGGAAACATCTCTTACATACCATGTAGGACATTTTGGTCTTCCTTTCCACCCTAGCCTTCCGTACTACCCAGCATTCAGCAAACATCTGGTGGGAAAAACCAGCTAGGCATTGAGGGCCTCTCTAGATTTCAGAGAGACAGGCAGAGAGAGAGGAAGGGAAGCAGGTTCCCCGCTGAGCAGAGAGCCCGATGAGGGGCTCAATCCCAGGACCCTGGGATCATGACCTGAGCCGAAGGCAGAGGCTTTAACCCACTGAGCCACCCAGGCACCCCATTAAAGCATTTCTTGAAGCATTTTTTTTTTTTTTTTTTTAGTTTTTGAAGCAATTATTAGTTTACTTTTTTTAAAAGGTTATAACTTACCTTATAGTAGATTTTGAAAAAGGCTCAGAACATATCTACGTGATAAAAACTGAAGGACTGTTAGAGCAAATCCTGCTTGTTGTATGTGAAGCAGATTAATTAGCCCTACTTAGCTTTCTTACCATTTAATTTCTAAAGGGAAATTGGTGGCATGGATAAGCATTTGGTACCTATTTATTAGCTCCCAAATTAAATGATAATTTTGGCATAATCATTGTATTTGCCTAATAAAAATTATAAATTTCCCAACGAGCAGCAATGAGCTAATCTCAGCATTTAGAAGTGAGCATATCATGTCTCTGCTCTGTGTTTTCCTTTCTGCCCTGGGTGACTGTCCTTCTTACACTTCCGCCACAGAATCACGGGCACTCAGCTTTCCCAGGTACCAGCAAACTGTCTGCAGTGTCCGTTTCTCCCTCTGATTTGCTACTTAGCAAGTTTGCTAAGCCTCATTAGAAGGTTAGGAAGGAAACATCAATGCTAACCTTTTTTCTTTGACTTCATTTTGAGCTGGCAAGCTTAGAATGATATAAATGATTAATAATAACAGGGCTTGTGTTTTGAATAAATATAGAATGAATTGTGTCAAACTACCGAAATTTTCGTCTGAATTTTTTAAAATCTTGGGTAATGTTACAAATAGTCGCAAATAGTTCCATGAAAAGGTTGGTAGTTTCCTTTAGTGTATAGATATTTTTAAAGTTTTTAATTTAATAGCAGTAATTATTGTAAAGCCAGTACATTATGTGTTTAAATTTTGTTCTTATGTTTCAACAGAAGCACCTGGGTTTAGCAATACCTCACTGATTATTCTTCACCAGTTAGAAGACAAGATGAAAGCCCATTCTTTCCTTATGGACTTTATTCACCAAGTAAGCATCCTAGTTGCTGTGAACAAGAATGGCCAGGACACCTGGCTTTACTGTGTCTTTTGTCACTCTCTCCAGGACAGTGGGAGATCCTTTCTTATTCTGAGGTGTTTTGTGGGGTTGGACAGGACTAGTGTTTTCCAGTTTCTTTGCTGACTTGGAAGTAAATAAGTCCAGGGCTGTTGGGGGATGGGGAGCTATTCAAGTATAAAAGCTGCATGGAAAACAGGCTGAAAAGAAGAAAAACAGTGTATTTCCACAGAAATGTTTCAACTTTAAGATTCTATGATACCTGTGTGGTTTTATGTCAACTTAGGTTTTCATGAATTGCTTTGTATTATTGAAAAGATCATGAAGAATAGTAAGGAAGGCAATGGCAGATTTTGATTTTTGGGTTATAAGTTTGAAATGCCATTAGAATCAATTCCTTATTTAAAGTTTGTGGTGGTTTTTTGTTTTTTGTTTTGTTTTGTTTTTTTATGGAGTATCCCCATTTATATTGGGCCTAAAATTAGAATATGTTTTTGCAGCTAGACAGAATTGTTACACAGTATCACTTAGCAAGTGATACTGAAGGCTGTTGGAGCAAATCCTGCTTATTCTATGTGAAGCCGATTAATTAGCCCTTGTTGATCAGTAGTGGCTCCCAAGCATGTTATATATCCAAATGAGTACATTTAATCCCACTTGTGCTTATTTTTTCCGAAATTGGTAATGCCTTCATATTAAAGAGATTACGATGCTGTCTAATAGAACTTTCTGTGGTGATGAGAATGTTCTATATCTGTGTTACTCAGTAGTCACAGGCAGCTGCTGAGCACTTAAAATATGGGTGGTACAACTGAGGAACTATATTTGTTTTTAATTTATTTTAGTTAAATTTAAATCATCACTTTGGTGGATAATGGCTACCTTATTGAACAGGTCAGTTCTAGATGATTCCAGAATGTTTGTCATGTATGGTTTGGCTCCTGTCTACTTTTATTGTCTTGGCAAGGGCACTCCAATCATTCAAGTCTCTCTCTTTTCTTTTTAAAGTGGTTTAGATAGACTACAGACTAATGGCGGGGGGGACAGATTTGTTCTGATGTAATTGTTTATTTAGTCAGATGTATCAGTTAACTATTAATACCTAACAAACCATCCCAAAATGTGGATCAAAACATTTCTTTCAGGTACCTGGGCAGTTTTTCTGTGGATTTCAGGTGGTCCACTCCTTGAACTGCATTTAGGGTTGGCTGAGCTGGAAGGTCCCCAAGCGTCTCTCGCCTGACATTGGATGTCAGTCTGTCAGTTGGGCCACATGGTTCTTCTCTTCTACTTAGTTTGTAATTCTCCTTTAGGCTGAACTGGCTTTCTGTGGTCTCAGGACAGCCCTCTATGGGGATGAATTTAGAAGCTGTAGTCTTCCTCAGGTCTTACCCTAGTTGTCACAAAATGTCACTTCCACCAAAGTGACATTGGTCAAAACAAGTCACCAGCCAGTCCAGATGAAAAGGATTCTACCTCTTGATGGGAGGAGGCCCAAAGTCTTGTGGCAGGAGGGTTGTGTCGTATATACTGGGATGGAAGGAGTTCATGCCTTACTATGTGACACCGAGGAGACACTAATTTATCAGAGGGTGAGAGAGCCATGGGTAGGAGCAGTTGCTGTATCTCTTGGCACAACCTCCCTGGGCTTCAGAAACCCTGCTGGAGTCATTCAACTCTTAGAGGCAGTGTCCACTGCCAGGTAATACCTAGCTGGATCTAAAAACCCCATTATTGCTATGCCTTTATGTTTGAATTACCTTTAATATTTCAGAGCATATTATTAATTGTTAATTATTATTAACGTAAACGATTGTATAACCAGATACTTGTCTCTAAGGAAATACTTTTTTTTTTTTTAAGATTTTATTTATTTATTTGTTAGAGAGAGAAAGAGCATGAGGAGGGGGAGTGGCAGGCAAAAGGAGAGGCAGGCTCCTCGCTGAGCAAGGAGCCCAATGTGGGACTTGATCCCAGGACCTTGGGACATGACCTGAGCTGAAGGCAGACACTTAACTGACTGAGCCACCCAGGTGTTCCTGAGGAAATACTTCTGAATATGAGGTTCTCCTCCTCAAGCCAGGTTCTGTGCCAATAAGGCCCTATCTCATGCTAAAGAGAATGAGAATTAATATCAAGGCCTCAGGACAGTACCTCTGCCTCCAGTTTTCAGGCACTGAGGGAAGCATATGTCTTCACACGTAGTTTGGAGAAGCTTAGAAGCAGGAAGTTACTGTGCTCCTGTTTGTTATGTGGCTTGAGTGACGCTAATATGTAGACATCACTTCACTGGCAGTGCTGCCGTGCTGAGGTGAGGAAAAGCAGGCAGGCAGAATTCCCTCAGGTAAAAACTGC